TCAATGAACTTTAAAAGCGTATCAAATTTTGCATTCACGATAATAGATATGTTGAAAGCTAACATTCCTATAACTAATCTTGATTGAAGCTGCTTTTAATCGTATTTTTTTCTTTATCTAAGTAAGAGAAATTATTAAACATCTGAATTGCATAAGGACGCCATAGTCACTAAGTATTTCAGAAAGTAAGGAAAAAAATTCGGGTCAGCTACAATGAATTAATGTTGAAATATAATAAGATAAAGATATATTTCCAAATAATGGTAATTTTATTGAAATATTTAAAAGTTAATAATTTGCAATTAAAAGGGATAGAAATGGAATAAAACGCGGCCATTTTGACATAATGGACATCCAGTATCAAACCAATGCAATAAGTGCCCATGCATCAATCCCAGTGTTTAAGTCTGACTCAGCGATGGTCAGTCGTGGCACATCATCTCTAAAAGACGTTAATGTTTGGAAAGCGTGATTAGGGGTGTAAAATCGTAGAGATCAATCTTGACGTATAACTCGAGGTTAAATAAAATAAAAAAAAACGGCAATTTCCATGCAACTCCTTCAGGTTCACTTCAGGTATCGCTCAAATTGCTTCTTCATCCTCTTTCGCTTGCTTGTTTGAACACCAAACGCGCATGAACTTTACGGTACCTACGAGTCATCATGCACTATGGCGTGTGCAGCTCCATAGCTGATACCCACGACTGACACCATTTGTGCTAACATGACTTGTCGATCTTCCACGCATCTAACCTATGGATTGTGTTCTTCCGTGCACGATTTGATGGGCGACCAGATCGGCTTTTGTCCGTTACACATTTTTCCTCCCGCTTCTACTCACTATCCACCATTGTTTCATGCTGCGTGCTCCATATTGTGCCAACATCCGGTGATGGATTTCCGCAGATTTAACTCCCTTTGCACACAGAAATTGTACAACAGCGTGTTGTTCCTCGACGGTGCAATCGCTGAGGAGACCGTCCATACGTCTGACCTCATTGCTCCCTGTTATTTTTACTACCTAATTTTGAAAGTGACTTTACTTTCTGATTTACCCTTGTATATCCAAAGATTGCGCAAAATTACGCTATTAGAGAAATAATATACGCAGTTTAAATATGAATTACGTACTTTAATTTGGTACATACGCATACAATTGTAAATAGGCATATTTATACTTATACAAAATTACATGAATATACAAACGAGCATATCTATTTGCATCGAGGAGCGCAGCTATATATTTCGGGTCGAATTTGAAAACAATGTTTATTTTTACTTAAAAGGCAATGTTTCAAAGATTATGTTATAACCTTTGTATAATGCTCGCTGTTCTGGTTAATAATGCTGTAATAGTTCAGTGCGGCAATGCGTACGACTCAAACTCTACGACTTGCGACCTACTTTGCGACGACCGTTCCTATGAGCAGACGCTCGATTTATTGCTGATGTACGAGTCCATGTTCAACAATTAGTGTAGAGACAGTCGGTCGTCTTTCTACACACTATTTCTCACCCAAAACAAGGCTCAAGAGATACTCAAGCTAGAGTTTACTGAATGAGATTGTTTTATAGACGTAAGGAGGAATTAGTAAGTAATTCAGATTATTAGCATATATACAATAGATAACTGTTGACCCTAGGCTTGAATAGGTGAAGATCGTAGATATCGGGGAAATATCCTCTCGGGAGTTTGTACCACATAGTAATAGTACTGAGGAAAAAAACTGTCTAATTGGAACTTTCTACTTACCAAAAGAATGCAAAAGAAATACGGATGAGTCGGACCAGTGTACGTGGCATAGTGAGTCCTAGCTATGAAGGTTTGAGCTGGTGGAACTAAGGAATGTAGATCGTTTGAACATTTGCCATGAAAACAACGATGGAGTAGCGAGAGCCCGGCAACATCTCATCTGTAGAAAATAGTTTGTAGGGTTGAAAATAATTTATGACAGGCAAAGCCGCATAGACGCTTTTGAATACTGCCAAAGCTGGAAAGAGATATGCCAGCAATAGTCTACATTTAGTCTGATCTGACTCTTGTAAGAATAGAACATTTCAGGAGGAGTCAGGTACTTTTGAAAGAGGTACAAGTAGCCGACCATTTTTCCAGCGTCTTTAGAATGTATATAGGAATCTCACTTGGGATCTAAAGTGAACTTTAGTCCTGATAAAAGTTCAAAGTAAGGGTCCTATTTGGCAGTGCAACCATTCTTGGCATGCTCTATGATGGGGGAAAGTTACTGACGTGGTTTTTGAGGTATTGAAAGTGACAAGCCAGTTTTTATCTCATTGGAAGTGATTCATCGATCTTTCCATGTCGAGGCATTTACCCTGTGCACTGTGTTCTTCTATACGCTAGGTTAGAAGAAAGATCAGCTGCCAGGCTCTAATCTAGATTGTTGACGACACATCCATTAACTGTCATATCATCTACATTGATATTTATTAGTGATCTGAGAATGTTTTTTGACAGATCGTTAATATAAAGCAAAAAGAGAGAAAACCGAGGAAAGAACCTTGGGGACTCCACTAAAGTCATGGGCTTCAGAAGAATGGCCATTAACAATAACCTTCAAGCACCTAACTGATAGGAAGGACTTGATAATCGCGAAGACTCCTCCTAGAGATTCCTGAGACGGAGGGTTTACCAACCCCTACGTCACACCGCACCTTGTCAAAGTTATCTAAGGCAATCTCTCTCGTGATAAATCTATTATTGAATGCCTCATTGTTTCTGTGTATAATGACAGGTTATCAGCAGTAGATCTAGACGAGCAAAATCCATACTGCTTGTTGCTCAGGAGGTTGCTTTGTTGAGGTGATCAGCAACCTTATTGTTGATCATAGACTCAGAGTTTACTGATTATTCTAAGGAAGCTGATGGGTCGATATTGAGACGGGGATTAGCGATTCCCCGCATTTGTAAAGAGGGGACAGCTAGCTGATATCTTCCATAGACTTAGAAAACATTTTTAATTCAAGCACCAGCTAATCATCTTTGCCAAGATTAGAGATAAATCTAGACTAATGTTCTTAAGAACACGCAAAATGATCTTATTCGAACCAGTAGCCTTCGTAGAGCCAAGGCTTTTTTAGGAGTCTGGTAACTTCCGCGCTATGATAGAGATATCACAAAGAGAGCTGAGAAGTCGGGTAGAATAATATAATGTTACCTGAAATGATAATTAAAGGTGATCTCCCTCGACATGTAAACATTGGCATTGCCAGATCGTAAGATACCGAATTCAACGGGTAGCTTGAAAGTATTTAATGTGGTAAACCTTAAAATGCGGAACCCGGGGCGTTTTCTAATTTTGTTACTAGCTTAAGCCAGTAATGATAGTTAAGTACTTGGGCTTCTAATTAATCTATCAATTTACCCTAGTTAAAAAAGGGATTCTTGATAACTTATTATTGTTAACTTGTAATAGGTTTAGTAAAACATAAATACAAATGGATTTAGAAATATCATGTTGTTCTAATCCTCCAAGTTGGTGAAATCTATTTGCCTTCGAAATCAATATTCAAAATCTTAGGGTTTCTTTACGTTCAAGCACTAATCCCTGGCACTAGCGCGAAATATATACCAATTTCAGTCAGGTGACAAACCAAAATATCGTTATTATTTCCGTTGACTTAACGAAAAAAGATAATAAAACTATTATCATTAAATTCAAAGTGTGCCTGTGACCATGCTGTTCAGTACTTTAGTGAGGAAGGGAAGTGTGCTGAAAACCCTACCTGTTCACCGGAGCATTCTTCTTGAAATGAAAAATATGTTACATACGAACAACAAGGATGAACATAAAACCATGATACGAATCAATGCAAGAGAACATTATTTAGCAAACTATAATAACATATTTCATTACTTCAAATTATTAAAAAAGATAATAATAATAATAATAATAATAATAATAATAATACGTAGTGCAGGGTTAAAAGCTGAAACCGAAGGTTTTATTTTCGCTGCACAGGACCAATGTCTTGCGAACTAGAAATTACTAAGTACACATACTGAAAAATTGTGTTAGTCCAAATTGTAGATTCTGTGATAAATATCCAGAAACAATTGACCATCTTGTATCAAGTTGCACGGTATTGGCACCCACTGAATATAAAACCCGGCATGGCAGTGTGGGTCAATATCTGCATTGGAAAATATATAACTTTTACGGAAAGGAAATTGCAAAGAATTGGTATGAACAGCACCCACACTTGGTTACAGACATAGGACCTGTAACAATTTTATGGGATTTTTCAATACACAGACAAGGACAATCAAAGCTAATCGAGAGTCAAATGTATTGATAGTATTTTTTTTTTCAAAAATGTGTTGCTGGTAATATTTTTTTAAATATATTGTTGGGAATTTTAATATAAAAATCTATTTTTATACTTTCATAGTGTTTTGACCCCAGTTTGGTGGTTAACTATTTGCCCATAGCTGAGATCGTAACAGGTGTTACCAACCCGGGTCAGGGTGGACGTGGGGACAACAGCAATTAAAAGGTGGTTCCAAGCTCTTCAAAACCTCTCGATCAGAGGCCTTGCTGCCGGGTGCAGTTTATCGTCATACCCAGGACATTGAATATTAGGAAAAGATTTCAACTAGAAAATTCACAATTCTCAAGTAGCACCATGTTTATTGGCTCTAAACACTAACAAAACTACTATCATCTCAATATAAGCTGTCATATTTTGAGATTTCGTTTTACTTACCTCGACGTCAGAATCAACTCCTGCAAAAGAAAAAGTATCTACAAATCCCATGATTACCATAATACCGTGCTGACCTTTTTTACTATGCAGACGTCTTTTTTTTTTACCTGGTCTTCTGTACTCTCACCTTTCAAACGACAGAGTCCTGTCTCCGTCTATTGACACCAGTACTAAAAAGAACTGATTGTACAGATCATTAATGCAAGAACAAACGTGTGAAAAGAACATATTAAAAGAAATCGGCAAAAAGCGAAGCAAAGATCATGCAGTTGCACCTTGATCAACCTGCTTACTCGCGCTGTTCAATGCTGAAGCCATTGTGCTGAACACAGTGTTCGTCTCCTGTAAATCGCCGTTGGCCATTGCATCTTCAATCATGTCGACACTGCCTGTTGTTAAGTCTTGGAGTAAGGCGTCAAGTTTCTCGGATGACATTGGGAGAACCTGGACAATATATCAAACTTGGATGTCATTACTTATGGTTGAAAATATAAGATTATATAGAGTATTTTGGTAATGTTCCTCGAAGGCAATCGGAATGATCGCGGCCACAGACGAGATACTCATCCTGCCATATGTAATATTATGTGTATGGCGCAAATACAAATAAGGATTTACTCTGGAATTAGTCATGGTTAGAAATGTAAAAAATGGATTGTTTTGTAACAAATAGGAAATAAATTAAACTCTTAACTAACGGCCATACGAGTTGTTGGAAATAAATCGCATTTCTGATATACAATATATAACACAAAGAAAGGACGATATTAAAGTTATAACAATAAATAAAAGTTATTACAATGGAGTTGCATAGTTAAAAATATCTAGAAAGGAAACGGAAGGTTAAAGTTTTTTTCTTAATTCCTTCAGTGAACTATTTGAATTTTGAACCGAGTAAGAGAATAAAAATATATACATGTCAGTATATTTTAATATTTGAAACCTGAAAAAAAACTTTTAGCCTCCACTTTTAAGATTTCTCAGAATGAAAAGAAGACTCTTATAATGCTGATTTCCGAAGCGTAATTTAGATGTCTGGTGAAAACAAGAAGTAACCTATCTTATTGGCTAAGAAAATAAAATCCCAGCATGCATCTGTGTGTTATCTATGAATTGGGAAGAGGAAAGTCTTTTGCAATCCTTCCTATTATGGTTATTTTCTAAGCGTATCTTAATCGTAATTGTTCTAGCGAGAAAAGCTTGCTAACCATTACACCACGTCGAGGTGCTCTTAGATTTTTCCAAGCGTAGCTTAGATGTGAAAATTTATTATCGTAATTTACAATAATTGTGGCACGAGGCCAAAAAGGGGGAAGTAGGTTTGAGACTGGTCATCATTAACTATCCTATACTTAGCTAATCCGATTCACGACCCATTCATTCATTACAAATAACACATATACCACAAGAAGTCATCCTTCACCATTTACTCCTACATATACCACAATACCCCAAACACAAAGGGAACCTATAAAAACACCACGTGATTTAAAAATTACTTATGTACAAATATTCGTGGAAAAAAAAAATATATATATATATATACATATATATAAATTTAATGATAGTATGAAATAAGGGGGTATGAATCATCAAATACAAACTAATATATAACAAAATATCAAGCAGAAAATCACAGATGTTCGTAGGACCCGTCCACCCCACAAAAAATAAGAGTGGTATTTATCGACGAGACCAAACTCGACGATCCGATCGCCCCATGATCTCCCGCTAGCTCCCTGTCCCTGTTTATCTTGGGGTCTAGGATGACATTCCAGTCCCCCACTAAGACTAAGCGCGAAGAATCAACTAGAAACGACCCTAACTGACAGAAAAACGAGACACGCTCACCGGAATCGTTGGGCGCATAAACTGCAACGAGCCGAAATGAATTATTGTTCAAGGCAATATCAGCTACGACCAACCGGCCCCTCGAATCGACATGGACAGGGTTCACCCTCACATCCAGAATACGCCCAACCAACAAGGAGACACATCTGGCCCGCTGGTCTCCGTACGCTGAATAGACGACATAGTCGCTAGACAGTACACGAGCATCAACCTCGCAAACAGTGTGTTTCCTGGATCGCAGCCACATCTACGCCGAAGGACAGGAGATCAATCAAACCCTTCGCATTCAAACTCACTATCTTAAAAAACATTTTTATGTTGATTCTCTTAGTCACAGACTGGACGGAAATCTGCGAATGAAAAGACCCCGACGGATTGTCCCAGGCTCCCTGTCCCCATCTCTGTTGTCATGCGACCATCCAGAACAATGCCGCCGATGTCCGCGGGATAAGTGAGTTTTAGGGCCCTATATATAATGAAGGATGGAGGATAACTGAGACCCTCCCCGTACAATATTTTTGAAATTTCTTAAAGTCCGGAGTCCCCTTTTCAATCATCCGGAAACCCGGAAAGGCGTCCCTCGTCTCATGAAGGCGATCCCATACTTGTAAATTCCTCCCTGCGTTACGTATCCACGTACCCATCCCTAGAGCCTTCGGGAAATTCCAAGGATCTTCTTCTGAACTCACGTCTACTGAAGAAGTTTAAAATGATGGTCTTAGTAAAGCTTTCTTTTGCGATAAGTCTCGTTCCAAAGCCTGCCTGTTTATTTGACAAGACTTTACCCCTCTACTTCTTCTGGGTAGCGCTATGGTGAGGGGTGCTGAGCGTTAGGGTGTTGAGAAGAGGCTTGCTGGGAGGTGTGGAGTTATCATCGGTTACAATAGTATTTGGACTAAATGTTTTGGGAGGAGGGGTGTTATGAAGGGGGAGAGCGGTGTTTTCAAAAGGGAAGAAAGGAAGCTTCTAGATTTAAATTGTTCTTGCTTTTTAGCTGGCGAGCCGGAACGGATTGAGCCTTGATTTTCACTATGTCCTTTTCCGATGCCTTTTGCGGCCCTAATTGGGTCAGCTCGTTTCTCTTTTTAAAGAAATGTTTCCTTCTTTTTCTTCTCCTTCTTCCTCTCTAACTCATTTCAAAGATGAGGACCAAGGTGTGGGCATCTCCTCCATTTCCACCTTTCCGCTATGTTGTTGGTCTGTATGAAGGTCCTACTGCCGCTCCTCCTGTTGCTGCATCTGCAGGCCCTCATGCTCCAGTTGGGGTTTCTTATTATTAACATTTAGATGTTGCTGCTGCTGCTGCTGCTGGTGGGGAATAGTAGCCACTTCTGTGCCCTTTTTCGCCACTTCTGTCCACGCTCCTGATTGTTTGACGACATCTTTGACGACCTTTGTTGTTGTTTGAGCTTTGTCATTTTTCTGGGTGTTTTAGGGTAGGGGTTGCGGTTCCGGATTTTTTCCAGGGCATGCCTTGGAGGGATGACCCACGACCCCACAAGCCCAGTGGAGTGGTCAGTGCCCTTCCACGACCACATAGATTAGTCGTTCTTCACACATTAACGTGTTTGGAATCTCCATAAATTGCTTCCGATTGAGCGTTAGTAGAATTTCCCCATCTCCTGTGGCTATGCCTGCCTTACTCCTAATGGGCGAGATCTCAGAGATCGCCCCAAACTGGAAAAAGAAAAAGCCCAGGTGGACCTCAGATACAAAGAGTGGTACTCCATGCAACGGGACCTTCGAATTCCTGGTTCCTAAATACTCAGGATGCATCCCGCTATCGATTTAGCTGCGTCTTCCGTGACTAACAGGATGTCCCACATAGCATTACTTCGTTTTGCTAAAATTTTCGCCGCAATTTGAAGGTTTTTCTAGGGCCTCCTCCATTATTTTCCGGTTAACTGCAATTTCCGTCTTTTGACATCAGTTGTCAACGGGGAAATTGTTCGGGTATTCACCGTTTCCTTGACTGATGACACCGGTAGCAGCTCATTTCCTTTAATGAACAATTTAAATTTGTCTTTTAGCCTCTTATAATATTCGGGACCTTTTTGGGGTGCCCTATCCCTTGCTCACGCTGAAGGAATCGCTTTAGATGTTGTGGCATTAGAAAGTTGGGGCTCCGTCATACTGTTGGTGCTCCCACACCACCGCACACAATCAAATCAATTCAATCAAAAATGTACTCAAAAGACGCAGACAAAAATGGATGCAAAAAATACAACAATGACGAAAGTAGACAAAATGTGACACTTACTTTCAAACAATAGCTCCAATGAGACTTAAAACAAACTAACCAAACTCAAAAAATCGTTCTCAAGCGTTGCTTAGATGAGCGAAAATCCGAAAGCATGACGTACCCAGTTAGGATCGAACTTACTATTCAGTCATAACTTATCTAGCGAGCTAACGTCGAAGTGTCCAAATACTTTTATTATGTATTCATAAAGTTAAAATATGATGCCTCTTTAATTTCAATGTCATTCGTTAATAATAAGATAGAAAAAAAGAAGAGTAAGAGCAAAGATGAAATAGGCGTAGAAAAAGAAGAAAAGAGATAAAAAGGAGAAAGAAAACAAGAAAATAAATGTAGAGGAGTACAAAAGCAAGAGGAAAAAAGAACAGCATGACAAGGTCAAGGCCATTCAGTTAGGTTTCATTCGACTAACACCTTCTCTACGTCCGCGCTGCGTTCAAAGATCCGTAGAAGTGATGTTTACAAAATTGGTTGAAATTCTGCTTGAGTTGGTTCAATCACAAAGTCACCGAAGATGCCGGCAATATCAAAGATGGAAATTGTATTTAGTTAAAATTTTACCCAGCATTTTTTTTTTACTTTTTTTGAAAAATGTATCAAAAACAGAATAAAATATTCCTCTCTTTTCAGCGATTTGCCTGAGTTCAGCTAGATCTTCTTTATTTATATTCATGATTACTTTACAACTACTATTACTGCTAACATTGTTATAAAATAAAATAAAACATATCTCGGATGATTTGCAGGCAAATAAACTAACATACTCAAGAGCGAGAGCCGGATGTGAACGGGACAAGGCTCCGTCACAAAATGACCATTATCGTCGTCTACGCATAAGCCCGGCGCACGAGTTCCGGTCGAAAAATAAAATAATATTTTAAAGCGTTTCTATTTTCCGATCAATAAAAATGCTTCTCTCCTAATTATACTCGCGTCGTTTTTCAAGCCTGTTAAGCCATAAAAAACGCCATAAAAGGAGTCACACGGGGAAGTACAACTGCAGTCAACAGGAGGCCAGGGAAGAGACCTGTCACGGTCAGTCAGCTGTCAACCACGCCAACCAGTGTGAACTACTATGAGAGATCAACCCATACCGGGAGCCGGCTTATGAACTATACCACAAGGTAACTGTCCCAAACCCACACGTTCCTATTGAAATAAATCACGTAAATCTATTTCTGCTGTTGTCGTATTTCCTTCTTGCAACTATACGCTTGTCTCTAACACCATCGTCTTTCTACAAATTTTAGTACTGCACGTCCTAATGTGCGTGTAGGGTAACGGATATCGGTACTGAAAGTGGAACCGGCGAGCCGAGTTCAAATTCCTGCCTAGTCTATTGCGTTTACTTTCGCATTAATGCCCTTGGAGAAAGGTATGAATACTGTCTCTTCTCCCGACCAGCTATGGATTAAATATCAGAATAATCAGGGCGCTTTCGTCTGGGTGGAAACTAGGCTAAAACAGGTAAAATTCTTAATTTTAACCACGGAGAAGTCAACGGAAAACCACTCCGCTATTTTTCCTTGCAGTTCATAAATAATGAATAAAAGGAATCTGTGGAGAGTCATAATCGTCTATACCGTGAAGAGAGATGGTATTTAAAAAAAAAGGTGTATGTTAAAAAGGTGCATTCTACAAATTTTAATGGAAATTTCGACTTCTACAATATTGTGATCATAACATTGAAACTACGTCGGCATGGAGAACTAGTAAATTTAGTAGACCTAGTAAATAGTTTAGTTGTTGGTTTTGTTTTTGTTTTGTGATATCTCAGTCACTAATGCCTAAATCTAAATATTTTATACGCAATTTTTATTTTATTTTTGGAGAAAATAATTGTTTAGTGATACAAGTTGTTGTAACCTAAAGAAGGTTACTGACTAGAATAATCACACGTAGGTTGGTAATGAACGATAATACTTAGGACAAGAACAACACATATAAGATTCGCCAGCGGCGCGTAGACGTAGGAGTCAACTGCTAGAAGTGAGTCAAGTGAATTCCACAATCAATCTCCAACTACAGGACATCTACCAACCGCCCCACGCGCTCATATGTGGCACAAGGCGGAATTTAATTTATAGATCGTAAGCTCGGCCAAAAATTCCCCGTAGACCCCGTATAAAACGGTGTCGGGTAGCTGTTTCCCGAGACGAGACTCTGTCCTTCGACATAGCCTCGTCTGGGGATTCTCTCTGCCCGGAGGCTGAGAGTTTGACCAGCACAACCAGAGGTGAATGTCCAACTGCAGACCAACATACATTATTTACTACTGTATTTATATGAATGGGGACATACCCATTATCGTCTGTAGGTATGCTACAACACAAGAATTACTAACTAACCTATAGCTGCAGGAAGAAGAAATGAATCCATACCTTTACCAAAGGTATTTGCGCGTAAGTAAATATTAAAAAAAACAACAGGATTTGGAACTTGGCTCTCCGATTAAATGTTTCTGGTCATTATTCATTACACCACCCGCAAATCCAAGCTTACAGCAACTGGTATTCCCAAGCGGTCACCCATTTAGGTACTTCAGGCTCGATGTTGATTAACTTCAGTAATCGTTTGGGAACAAGTTTTAAAACTACCCACAAGTCTTATTATTAAATAAATACAATATACTTTGGCAACATTCAAGGTGTAACATAATTAACAACAAGGAATTGGCTTTTACCAACCCTGGAAATATAACAGCTAACGATTTTCCCATCAACCGACATGACAATTGCGAATACGAATATGTGGTCTGATTCATCCGGAAGTAAGCAGTTATAACCGACATAAAGGCGGCGACCAAGAAATAAAATTGAAGTTACATAACAAGGAATGGTGTCAATGTTATAACAATAAATTAAAGTTATAACAATATTCTTTAAAACATGTTGCAACAGATTGAACACAGAAACAGAAGAAAACATTTGTCTTTCATTAAGTCAGTTAATAAAGAAACTTGCAAATATGTGAAACAATAATAATCTTCGAAGCAAATATTTTTGTTTCCTACGTTGATTAATTTAACACATATCAACACTTGTTGCGTCATTCAATGCCGAATATCAATCTTATCGGACAGATATCTCAATAAATTAATAGTTATCGGTCAGAAAGATAGACATTGTTTTTGTTTATAGTAAAATCAAAAAAGATACTGTAGGGATACAGTAGGTGCTTATTTCCCTTTAGTGGAGACAAGTTACGTGGGTCACATGACAGCTTAGTGACGTCACTCGATACAGTGATGAAAGCGGCAGTCAAATTCAGTTCGTTTTACAGTAGCCAAAGCGAAAGATTGCTTTCTTTATCCCGAGCAACTCATGGCCAGGTCAGAGGCTAAATCTGCCTCCCCAGCAGCTTACAAGTCCATGGTGCCGTTTCCCTTTGAGAATATATCTTTCCCAGATATAAAGTGAAATTCCAACTCGTAGTCCTCTATTTGGGAAAACCCAAGACTCGCTGTTTCCCGTTCGTGGAATATGTCGTCGCCTGGAACATAGATGAATCCGGCCCGTTTGAATCTTGAATCCCAAACATGGCTTCTCCAGACACTTATGGTGATAGGGAATCACGCGAAATGGAAGGAGTTGGGCGGATCTACCACCACCACTCTTTGGGGAGGGATCTTCCCAAATTTGGTCAGGCAGTCAATTCCCCGACCACCTCATGCTCCGCACCGGGTCCATAAATATAGTCGAGTGAGACGGAGGAGGAACCAGGCCGCTCAAATTGTGGTTTGTGAGAGAGACACGTGTCAGTTGGTTCAAGACCCGCTTTTCCAAACCCTGCGCAGCTTCTACAGAAAGAACTTAGACACCGACTTGTTCCAGAGCTACCAAATAGACGTGAATGGTCGGCCCGAAGAAATCACAGAGTGGAAGAAATCAGACTTCAGCCTGGTACCAGTTTACCGCACGTGGCTAGACATAGTGTCACGGGGTATTAAGGGGGAAGGTATGAAAATCTGCATGTTGTTAATCTATTGAGTAGAATGTTCATTGTATGAACTTTTGATATAAAGTTGTTGTGTTACACGGCTGTCTCTTACTTTGTTCCTTGTGACGTAATCTCGCCAAAGCTACCGGATCAGCGACATTGAGTATACAACCCGGCATTCGCCCGCCATGTGATCTAAAACAAACACAACCTGGGGCAGTATGGCCTTGAGGATCTGCGCTACCAACTCCAAGGCTGGCCGTAAGGATCGACCAGGAACTCGCCCGGTGACTGACGACGGGATTGTGACATCATAAGAGGGGAAAAGATACTACTTAATTTCAGTGAGGAAACGAAAGAAAGAAAGAAAGAAAGAAAGAAAGCGGGGAAGATAAAAGTGTTTAACGTCTGTTTCAGTGAAATAGAAAACGTTGTCAATTTCAAATCTTTTCATTTGTACCCCCTTACTTCTTTAAATAACAATCAGCATTCATATTTATGATTGTTATGGCAATATTTTGTTAAAGTTGTTACGCTCAAATATTTAACAAGATGGCGGAATTTCTACGGATATTTTATTCATTTATTTAAGAATTAAGAATGAAGATTCATAAGAAAATTTAATTAGAGAAACCGTGAAATTTTCACGGGCCTTTTGAGTTTAACGGGCGAGTTTTCGAGTGTTTACTGAAGACAAAGGCGATTTGATAATTCAAATAAACTACTTGTTATAATTTTAAACTATTTTAGAAAAATAATTAAACCAACTTACTCTGACTTCTCCTAGGGATACAGTAGCGTAGGCTCCGTAACTGTCAAAAACTTTGGCCATAACCTCCATAGTAAAATTATCATATTCAGGTCCCAGTGGCATGTATACTTGAATGTCACTTTCTGGACCAAACGAAATTTGCTTCGTTAAGGTGTTTTCCTTAAATTTTGCTGCAATAGAAAAAGAAAACTTCCACAATATTTGGTTATACTTATACTAAGTTGGCCAGAAATCCCTGACTCATTTAGGAAGCCGAAAGAAAACAACAAATCTTGATCTCTGTGTGATGTAATTTCAACGGAGTACTGCCTTTCTACCACACAACGGTAAAGTGTATTGCCAGCAGCTAGATCGCGTGTACGACAAACTAAAGAAGTATCCTACTTTGGTCAGTCGAGGTTGGGCTTTGTTTCAGCAAGACAATGTGAGGCAACAGAAGTTCAAATAGATGGACGGTGTTGAGATTCTTCGACATCCATCATTCAGTCCCGATGCTGCTGCTAGTGACTGTCGCCTATTTCACTCAATGGCACACTTTCTACGCGACCAGCGATTCAACACTTTTGATGAAGTCAAGGAAGCTTGATTTTTTTTTTTTATTATTCAAAGCCATCTGACCAGTATCTGGGACAGATTCGGATGCTGGATGATCGCTAGCAGAAGATCGCCGAGAATGATGGGCTTTATTTTGAAAAATAAATTTTGGTGTTGCTTCATAATATTTTGTTATTTTCTTCCCGCTTCTAAGTGAATCAGAACTTTCTGGCCAACCTAAAATTTGGTATATTTTTTTTAAAATTTACCATATTCTTGATACTCGCTAAACTTACTTTGCGTGTGTGTAGAAAATAATACATTATGTATATTTTACATATTATACAGGGTGATTGAAAAGTAACTCCCCATTTTAACATACTTATAATTTATTTATTAACTATAATTTTTACAAGAAATGAATATGAGAAGAAATCGTTTAGCGTGGTTTGGTTTGTTTTGTTTTACGACACATCAACCACAATAGGTTATTGAATGCCAACAATTTTTATTGCTGGCAATATATTTTTGCTTCAAAAATGTATTGCTGATGATGTTTTTATTTTCAAAAATGTATAGCTGGTAATATTTTTATTTTCAAAAATATATTGCTGGTAATAATTTTTCTTCAAAAAATTTATTGCTGATAACAATATTTACAAAGTATCTCTGGGATTAAACCTATTTTTTCACTTTCATATTGTTTTGACCCCAGTTTGAGGGTTAACTATTTTCTCAGAGTTGGGACCCCTACATGTGCTACCACCCCGGGTCAGGGTGGACCTGGAAACACCAGCAATTAAGAGTTGGTTCCGTGCCTCCCTCCAAAAAAACACCTGGTCAGAGGCCTTGCTGTTGGACGTAGTTTATCGTCTTACCCAGAACGTCGTTTAGCATGAGGTTTTATTTAAACTTCGATATAGGCACCAGATTTCGCTACCAAGCCCAGGAATCGTATCAATTGATTTCACTAAGAATTCTTGTGGTATAGAAAATATAACTTCTTGCATTCGCCCTTCAGTTTCTTATAAATCTTGGTTTAGTATAGCAGACTTGCTCATTTAACCAACCGCAAAAAAAAACGTCACAGGGTGTTAAGTCATTACTCCTGGTTGGCCACTCATACATAAAATAGGGAGTGGTTTTCAATTACCTTGTATATCAATTTAACATATAATTGTGTATCTAAAACCTGAATTTTGATCTGAAATTTTCATTGTATAATGTTCACTAATGAATTAAGTGCATTGACAAGGTGGAGAAGACTATGCTGAAAAATAAATATTTGTTGTATAAAATAAATGCGATTTCTTATAATTAGGCTACGGACTTATTGATGAACCTATGTATAGATTCATAATAACTTAAATATTTTCTTAGCACCCTGTTTGTAAAAAAAACGTATTTGAAAATTTAATCACGTACCATAAAACATGTATTCTGCAACTTTTTGGTCATCTGACCAATTTGAACAGGTCAAATTGAAGAAGTCTTGCCCAGTACGCCCTTCTTTAGGTGTGATGGAACAGCTTCCATTGATTGGGGCTTGGTTTACAATGAAATTCATTGCTGCTTCTGCTCTCGTCACAGCCTTTTCATCAATAATGATCACTTTGGCACGGAATTTCGTCGCAGGATAGAAATCTTTAAAGATATTCGTCAAAACTGCCATATACTTGGTCTTGTGACCTATGCAAAAATAAAAAAAAATAAAGCGTTAATAAATTTTATCCATATTTTATGAACTTCTCCACGTTCAGAATGAGATACGTCAAAAAGATTTCAAGCAATGAATTTATCATTTGCTGTGTTTTATGTTAATACAATTGTTTATTTTTTAAACTTTCGTTGTTTCTTCTTTGTTCTGCCACCATACACTTAATATAACATAAAGATTCGGTACATATCACTACCTTTTGTGTAAGCTGTTATGTTTTCAACTGGTCTCCAGTTCCAGCGATACTGAAAATAGAATAGTTCCCACTGGTACTTCAGTTCCCTATCGGGAGATGTGCAGCCGTCCGTGCATTCTGCCGACAGACCAAGACGAGCCGATGGGTTAACCAACTGTCCTGATGAGATCTGGGAACACAGACCAGGGGAGCAACTGAAAGATAAGATGTTTCATTTTAATACTTGATCCTTTATAGTTAGTTAAGAGAAATTGTATTAACGGGACGGGATAAAACTTAATTGGATTACTAAATTATATTAAACTGAATTATTTAATGTGTCATTAAACAATTAAAAATATTATGGTATTTTCTTTTAAATCCATTGCTAGGTCAGCTGCAAAGAAACAATTTGTCCGAAACAAATTTTCTCGCTAGAATCTATTTTACATATCTATAAGTCTACTATTTGTCAATGCTTAGAATATGGCTGCTACATATGGTCCGGTGCTTCTGCTATTTACCTTGATCTAACAAAATTTTATGTTCGACAGTTCAAGTGGGCTGAAGATAAGATTCCTAAAAAGAACTCTAGTCATTAAATTTACTCAAAGATGGGCTGAAGACAAGATTCCTGAGAAACACTGGTCATTAAATTGAGTTTAAAGGAAAAGGATCTATCTATTCGTCTCCTAAGGATGTGTGAGAAATCGTATTGCTACGTAACGCTCTTTCCAGTATTAATGGAGGTTTCCTTTCTGACCTTTTATTTGAAGTAGTGTGGAATGTCAACATTATGATTATATCATTATTTTCTATTCGAGAAATGCGTGCTATCCATTTTAGTTGTTGCTGCTGTCGGTAGTCCTCAAATGATGTGGTTTCTGTTATTTGGTACAGTTCTTAGTTAGGGATTCTGTAGCGCCAACCAACAATGTGCAAAGAAAAAATATCTTTGTCAAAACCCTCAGGTTCTACTCGTTCAAAGCCTTTTTCTACCAGTGATCTTAGGAAGCGGTTTTATACAGCTGACACTTGAGATATTTCTGAACGGGTTTGACGCCATGCATAACATCCATATGAAAGTTTTGATCTGAGGAGTTTATTTAAGAACATGACTCGAGTTTTCAGGTTGATGCTTTGGTTTCGTAACAATTTGCGGTGTTGGCCGAAACTAACAGCCTATTCTATGTTCAATAACTTTGTTTTTTTTTACGTAGACGTCACAGTAAGCATCAAATCGGACAGTAACAAAATATACGCTATAATCTTCCAAAGATGGTTATAAACGATTTTATTTAAATAAGTAGCATTTTTAAATAAAATCGTTTATAAACATCTTTGTTCCTCGCCTGATGAGATGCTTACGCATCGAAACAAATATGCATGTTTGTAGTGATTACTTGTTTGTCCGTATGTAACAACTTATAACAAATAACTATTGCTCTGCTTTGTGTTGAGCCTTATTTTAAATTAATGTTATGAACGTTTGAATTTATATTCTTTTCGTTTTTATTGCATTTGGAGATATATATATATATATATATATATATATATATATATATATATATATGTGTGTGTGTGTGTGTGTGTGTGTGTGTGTGTGTGTGTGTGTGTGTGTGTGTGTGTGTGTGTGTGAAAAATATAGTTTTAAAGTACGCTATATTTATGGGTAAAAGTTCTCAATATTAGGGATAGGGTATGTGTAAATCTAAAAGCCGACACTGAGCTCAACATCACGTGGTAATATTCTATTTCACCCTGAACGGAATTTTCGGACCTGAAGATTGTGTTCAAGCATAAAACAAACTCCTGCCACCCGGTGTTAACTTCAGTGTCCGAGATAGATAGATAGATAGATAGATAGATAGATAGATAGATAGATAGATAGATAGATAGATATTATTTATTTAGTTTTTCCAACATATTTTCGTTCGGTGGGAGTAAAAGAGTGCAAAAAAGTGTAAAAAGGAAAAAGGAAGAATGTTGTAAAAACTAAATAAAAAATTAATCAAATTTTCCTTGTCTGTCAATTCTTTTTTTTTTTTTTTAACATAAAACGTGTGTTAGCACGTGCGATACCCTGTCTTCATCAGCCGTCGACCAGAGGTGATCTCACGGTTTCGGTGGCTAATACTAAATAAAAAATTAATCAAATTTTCCTTGTCTGTCATATTAAACGAAACATGTACTCAGATATATATATATATATATATATATATATATATATATATATATATATATATATATATATATATATATATATATATAAAATACAGCCTTGTAAAAACAAATTTATAAATTCGTATCATTCGAAGTCACATTTCAGTGTTTCAAATTCGGTTTACATTTTCAATTACTCTGGCCTAGACATGTTTTGGAGCAAACCAATTTTTTTCTTAGATAATTCTGGGACACTGTGCTCAGAAATCAAATCTATTTTTACCGATTAACTCTTCTTTTATAGTAATACCGCACAAAATTTGAGAATTTAAAAAGGACATTATATAGAAATAATATTAATGTTCAAATTAATTCTGAAAGCCTTCTGTAAAAATCATGAATGCTATTAAACTCCTGATTGTTCACACAACTGTTTTTTTTTAATATTATGACAGATAATGCATGGTGATAATGACGGTGTAACTGAACACAAGAATAATGGTAAAGTACTGCTGGAAATTAAAATGGGACAAATCTACTAAAGTTTCATGAAAATCAAATAAGCGTAATTCCTCTGCAATACTAGTTTCTCTCAGTATTCAAATTATTGTGTTGCTTTTATATTTCAGAAGTTATTTTTTTATTTCAAACTAACATTGTATTTAAGCTTCAAATAAGCATTTCTTTTTTTTTTTACACATTTACAGCGACCTAACCAAATCACAACCATTTTTTATGTAGGATATGGTATTCTGGAGTAGGGAATCTATAGATAAAGGTGAGAAATATATGTCATTTTTGGATTCAGCATCCTAAAATTACTCAAAATTGCCCAAAACACGCCATATACCATTTTACAAAAAGTAGGCCTGTGTTATTTTTGTTGTGAAGTCATTATTATGCAAATACTTTTTTTTTAAGTTTTTGTCAGATCGAACAGTAATAGAAAAGTTCACAATAATCCCTGTAATTCCTTTTTCAGTTATATTTTCATACAATTAGAAAGATTAAAGAATACTCACGTGATAACAGCCGTTCCTGGAATACCTTCAACAATTTTCACACTTATACTGACGTTCACTTTTCTAATATCTTTCTGGATGATAACCATTATGTCGTATGTCTCGTTGATTTTCATCCACTGTGTAGAAAAAGAAATGATGCCTTTGTTGAACTCGATTTTCCCAGGACCGAGACCGAAACAGCCTCCTTTGTCGGAAAACTCCGCACCAGCAGGTCCAGTGTTGGCGTTCATGTCGTGTTGTTGTCCACTACGTTTACAAAACCAGGTAAAATTTGTGAAACCCTGTAAAATTGACGAAAAAAAACCAGAAGTTATTACAAGAGTTTCGTGGTTTATCTAGAGTTAGCAATCAAAAAGAAAGTTTATAAAATTTATACAATTTACAGTGTATGCAATGTTTACACTCTGTGTACCGTAAACCTACGTTCGGGGGATTGTAGAATCATTGAGACCATTCTTAGCATCTACAAGGAAAATTTAATCTAATTAAGACTTTAGTTTATCGTGCCTTAATTATAAGTTCTAAGATCAAATTAATTCCTGAAATTATTTTATTACGAAGGTTTTAGCTGAAGATGGATACCCTCTTTGTATTGTGCAATCTATCATTCGCGCTTAAATTGTGCAATTTAATGAACCAAAATTGTATGGTCCGAAAAAGAACACCGTCTATTTGCGATTACCTTGGATTGGTGAGGCAAGCACATGATTTTCTAGAGAAATCTTTCAATGTGTTTTCACTTCACAACTTATGTTAAAATATTTCCGTAAGCCTATTCTGCCCACCGCTATCAAATTAGAACGATACGTTATACCTTGAAATACTAGTGTGATGCTGAATATATAGGCAGAACTAGTCATTTGTTGGAAATAAGCATTGATCAGCACGTACCAGCTAAGATCCGTATAGGGCGGTATGAAAATCTGCATACACTCGTCAATGCATCCGATTCGGCGATTGTTGAACATCTTACAATTTGATGTTTCCCTCGTCTTTCGCGAGAAGCTATTCTCGGTCGTTAGCAGAACGTATTCAGATCATTCTGATTATTATTTGAAAGTACTTGAGACTTTATATATTAAATTTAAGCAGCCCTCTTTTGTGGGCAAAAGGAGTGTCAGTTAGTCTCAATCTTATATGTTTGTGACTTGTATTGCTGATTGTCTCTATTGATTTAGCCCTAATTATATTTTAGTCGTTGTGTAAAAATCTCTTGTCCTCGATTGGGCTTTGGAGAGCGAAGAAGAATAATCGGTTAACTTCTTTCTTTTTTAATAATTTTTTGACTTATTATTTGATGCTAAATATGTTTTCATTGCTTTTCTGCCACTTGTTTTAATATTTAATTTGCAATAAATGTAATATGTCCGTTTTTAAAGACATAATAAAATGTTGTATTCGCCATAAATTATTTAACAATTTATAACTAAATCAAATATTTTTCAAAACAACTTCTTACCGTTATAGATAAAATTTACAAGATCCAAACAATTAAATATGTAAATAAATATATGAAATTTTAACTTACTTGATCATCATTTCTTGGAATGGATGGATCGTAAGAATAGTTAGCCGGAGCCAACGTCAACGTGGTGTTGTGACCCCACAGTATCTCTGAGGAACCGCCTCTTACCATTATACCAACGAGATCGGGTTTCTGAACCTCAACGTAAGTAAACGCCGTGCTACGGAATATTTCTTTATTCGGGAATTTCGACTGGTCCATTGTGACTGTATAGGTGACTTTGTAGAGGCCGAGAGCCAGGAAACGCGGCCGGAGAGCCAATTCGGACGTTATTGCTGACGGGTTTTTCGAAATGTCAATCACTTCGCCTGTCTCTTCACCAGTCAAACGATTTACGGTATAAATTGCCCATTGTTTTACGTTGTCTCTTGTATGAGAGCAGGTGATTTTCGTTTTGGTCAAGATTCGAATCTGTTTATGCCGCTTCATGATAACCGGTTTCTCAAATTCAGTACTGGCATCTCTGATTGTAATATTTGGTGGTTTGCACGCGACATCGGAGACCACAATTGGTTTCTCTTGGTGAAATTGTCCAAAACCGTCGATAGCCAGAAACTGAATGTTATACGTCCCAGCAACGGCGAAGTTGTGTTCTAGTTTCATAGTCTTCTCGGCTTTTCCCGCGAGTACAATAGTGTCCAGCTTAAGAAGTGAACACCCAACATCAGAGCCAAAGTATTCGATGGAGCTACCATCTCCGAAGTCAACACTCACGCAGGTCTTATTACCCATAGATGGTAAAGTAATAGTGATGTTCACTTGTTCATTAAGTCGACTTTTAGTAGGGCTTTTCACTATCATGTCAGTCAATCTGTTGGCCACTTCTACGGTGACAATTTGGCTTGACGCAGATGGAAGATTGTTCTTTGCTGTAATATTTACATCATATTTCCCAGGCTGAAAATGAAACAGAAATATTCATGAATACACATGTTATTATTCTGCTTCTTGTTTGAATGTACAATCCTACCGTTTTTCTACATATGATCAGAATGTAGTATCTGAGCTGGAATTATTTACACTTTCAGACCGAGAAACATACGTAATAATATTAAATGAAAATAAATTGGGTAAAGCAAAAATGACAAGAGTAGAGCAAAAGGGGATATTACGGAGGAAAAGTAAGAGAAAATGAAAACGAAAATTAGATGAAAGACTATATATATATATATATATATATATATATATATATATATATATATATATAGTGTGTGTGTGTGTGTGTATGTGTGCGTGTTGGGGCAGCACATCATTATTCAAACATATATTGTTAAATATAACAAAGAATCTCTATTATGTTTGCTCATTTGGGTGTAACGATGCAAAACAAGAACACACAAACGTGGCCTTTGTCATATACCTCGACCAACACAAAACCGATAATGACTTCCCTAATTGCCAACATTATGGTTATTGATTGTAAAATACAGATGCACCGTCTTTTTTATTTAGACTACTTACATTGTTCGGACTGTTGTCCTCGTATTGGTTGCCATATTCTCGACGTTTCGACCGTTGTACATTCCGGCCTTCTTCAGGTGATTGAAACTTCGAACTGAACCCTTTCTTTCCTTCACCATCATGCCTCTTCTAGATGTCTCAGTTATTTCCCTTTAACTCAATCCTCTATGTTATTGGTATTGAACTCAAAACTCAACAACCCTTTAGGTTGAGTCACGGTTTTATCCACTGGATCATGTGTCCTTGAGAACATCAGTGCATGAATTATGGGGACTTATAAATCTAATGTCTTAGCTTCAACTTTTTACCATAGCTCATATTACAATATTGTTGTTATTGTTTTTCTCTAGCACTCCGTATTACTCCGTGGCCTGTTTCACCTTCATATTTCTTTCCACAGCTGCACGGGATGGCGTATACACAGTGCTCAATCACGTTATCCTCTATGAGAAGTTTTACTTGGAAGAGATGTCTGCGAAGTGTTGAACCACTTTTAAAGTTCGTCCTGATGTTATATGGACCACAGATATTTTGCATTTTTCCGATAATCCCTTCACAAAGTAGGCAGCCAGAGACTGTTTTCTAGGTTTTGTTATCCTCTTACACCCTTCTATTCCGTTTTTGTCGGAGCTGCTATAATGTACCAGAGTAGTTGTTACGTTGTAGGGTTCTGCTTATACTGACCATTTCTTGTTCATATGTCTCTGAGTCGCCACTTTTGACTTTTGCTCGATGTTGTAAGCAGCGGACGATCCCTTTCTTTACACTGTATGAGTGGTGGGAGTTAGATTTTGGATATTGTCCGCTGAATGTTGGTTTGCGGTATACGGATGTCTTGAATGCATGCTCTATTCGAAATATTAGTACATCCAGGAATGCTAGTTTGTTGTTGTTTTCTCTCTCCATTGTGTAATCTATCGATGATTTCATAGAGTTCACACGGTCTAGTTGTAGTTGGATCTTTCTGGTGTGGACAGAGTATGAAGGTGTCATCTACGTATCTCAGCCATAAAGTTGGCTTTAGTGACGTGGATTCTAATGCCATTTCTTCGAAGTATTCAATGTATATGTTAGCCATTGCTGATGATAATGGCGATCCCATTGCTAATCCTTCGTCCTGCCGATATATGTCTTATCCCATTCCAAAGTGTGTTGTTCGTGTACAGAAATTCAGTATCTCCATCATTTTATCTATTGGTATACTGGTACGTTCTCCTAGGGATGTGTCCGAGTCCATTCTGTCCCTGACTACCGATAGTGCCTCCTCCGTGGGTACCTTGGTGAACAAACTTATCCACATCCAGGTTCATCATCTAGTTGTACTGGATTGGAGCATCTCTGATTATTTCCACGAGGTCGGTGGATTTTCGGACATATGATGGTGACTTTCTTATTAATGTGTCAATTATATCCACAAGGGTGGCACGGAGAGCCTTGGCAGCTAACAATTGGCCTGAGCGGAACACCGTCTTTGTGAATTTTTTTTGCGGGGGAGACCGTAATGTGAGGTAGCTTGTTGTAACGCTGTAATAACTGCTTGTATATCTTAGGTGGGAAGTGGTTCTTGTTCTTCATTAGAATCTGCGATAGTTTTTCTACTGTTTTTCTTGTTAGATCTATCTTTACTATAGCTACCAGTTGCTTTATTGCTTTGTTTGGAGTGAAATGGTTAATAAAATAAAAATAAGGATTGAACTCGCTGCTGCCGTCTACGAAACTAGCTTACGAAACATTACTCCCTGCCGAGAAGTTTCCATCTCTACTATTCTGGCTTTACTTACTTCTGGGAATTCACACGTAAAAGGACTATTTGTGCTGTTGCAGTAGTATGTGTTCCCATCTTTCATCAGAACAGCTTCGTATTCCACGACAGTACCTAAAAGGATGAAAAGAAGAAGATATACCGCTTGACTCAATGTAACCTAGAGGTGATGGTGTCCTGAAAAAGAAAGAAATACGCGAAACTATTTTTTTTGTTTTGATTAATTTATTCTTAGAATTTGGATCCAAACCCGTCTTTCAGATGAATGCAATTGTATAGAGAATTACGCACACACACGCATACATATATATGTGTGTGTGGGTGTGTGTATGTTATTTATTACGAGTGTAGCAGAAACGTGTTGAAGTTCATTTAACAAACATTTAATGCCATTTTGCATTTCTACCAATACCGTGGAGTAATAGCGGCACGGATTGAGAAATCGGAGAGCCGAGTTCGAATTCCAATCAGATCCATTACATTCACTTACGTGCTAATACCCTTGGGAAATGTATGAATCCTCTCCTTCTACAGCTAGCTATGGGTAAATAGCAGGACAGACCGAGTTCTATAGCCTTGGATGGCAACTGGTCTACCGCAGAAAGAAATGGCAACCTACTGCGGTAAAAATCTTCCTCGTCAGTTATATATTGAAAGATACATGATTGCCTAAGCGTGTATCACACATGGCACATAACTGACCAATTTCTGGTTAGCTCCCTTATATTGGGGCACTTGTTTTACGAAAAATTCCATACTTAGCAATAAATAAATTTCAATTTTTAAATGATTTAACTGAGCGCGTTTATGAGTGTTTTTAAAAATCAAAATCACAAAAATTACAATTACAATAAGTTTGCCTATGTAATTCACCCCTGAGGATGATCTTAGGGGAGTTCGAAAGTACTTGGGTAGGAAAAAACTATGGCGCCTTCCTTGATGAATTTCATCTTAACATAAAGAAACTGAGTAGAGGATTAGAAACGATTATTATAAAAAATAAATAAACATAATATACCTATATTATTGAATGAAACATGTTTGAATGAAGATACGCTGCCTATATATATATATATATATATATATATATATATATATATATATATATATATATATATATATATATAAGTGAACACTGAGGTTAACACCCAGTGACGACAGTTTGTTTCATGCTCAAACACAATAGTTAGGCGGATATATTCAGCATGACGATTGCGTTTAAGCATGAGACAGACTTTCGTCGCTAGGTGTTGATTTCTGTTACATACTCTAATCCTGATGTTAAGCATTTTAACTCATAAATATAGCATACCTTAAAACTATACTTATCATATATATATATATATATATATATATATATATATATATATATATATATATATATAAACAGGATTACTCGGTTGAAAAAACTCGGATGACTCAACTTGAGAACACATGAGGGTAAATTGGTACCCGAGGAAAAAATTGGAAGTAAAAAATGAAAGAACTAAAAACACGGCAAACCAAATCATCAAGTGTCTAAAAAACCCACGCGAGTATAAAAGACTAAAACGTAGAGTGCTCAATACACTGTAGAGAGGTAAATTAGAATAAATCCTAATGAGCCAGGTAAACCTACTTAGAATCTTCAGGATAAACTGGTTAACCTGAATATCGGTTTAGGTGAAACCTAGGTAGGTTTGTCTGGCTTTTTAGGATTTATTACAAATATATATATATATATATATATATATATATATATATATATATAATTTACGACATTTTATTACTTCAAATTCGTATTTGAAATAGACGCGCCATTTTTATTTTTATTTTAAACAATGAGTATTACGTCTATTGGACAGGGCATTCGAGAATTAATTCGCTATTAAACTTTCATGTTCCTATGTAATAAAAAAACCGTTTTATCTGGTGTGCTTAACCGCTCAGCTACTGGGAACGCCCCAGTTCAGCAAGGATCTATTTTCCTCTTTTAAGGCAAGCATTCTTCCTCATTACACAATATTTCCAAAATGCAGCAGATTTCCGGGGGATATCGGAGAGTATAGTGGCCGGGACAACAAAAAGACGAGAAAAAATTGTAATAATGTGACGATGCGTTTTAAATTCCAAAAGTATCGCTTAAGTCAGTTAGTACATATGTATATACGCATACGTGTGTGTACGTGATTTAAGAAAGGGAAAAATACAAAATTTAATACTACTACTACTAATAATAATAATAATAATAATAAATAACGACAATAATTTAATAGCTCTACTTACCGTCAGAAGTCACATGGAATCTTATCGGGCGATCGAATGGTAAAAGGTTCTGATTACTAGACTTGTCAGAAGAATTGAGAGGCAACCTTGGTGTATATTTCACAAGAACGTCCACTTGTGTTATTTTCTTGAACACCCCCGCCTACAATAAAGTGTAATAGAGAAAAATAACGTTTAGAACTACCGTCACAGATAACATGAGACTCGGTGATCTGAGCAAAAATATATCCTTGTAAAACATGTAACTGATAGCATATATATTATTATTATGGTTATATTACATATTTATCATAACATGGTTAATTATATTGATAATACTAATATAAAGCACTGCAATAATAATTACATTAATTATAACAGTGAGGTCCGATAGAAAAACTATTGGGATTGATACTATAAAAACAAAATTACAAGACATATCAATTCGGTATTTAATCTCCTTCGAAGTAATCCCCTTCTGAAGTTACATATTTTATTCAAAGAGGTTTCCGTTAATGGAAGCATTCCTGGAACACCATTTTGGATAGCGAACAGTTGTCTCGTCGCATTCTTTTAGATTTCCTCGACGTCTTGAAATCTTGTTCCTTTCAAGTGGGATTTAATATTGGAAAGAGGAAGTCGCAAGGGAAGTCGCAAGGGTAACGTGGTGGTTGTCGAACCTAGTGAATGTTGTTCTTGGCCAAAAACTGCTGCACAGGCCATGATCACTGATGGAACCTCAGTGGTGTGGTTATACGACCACACTCTACACACTTTCTTTCCAAGCACTGCTATAAACAAAGAAAGTGAACGAAAATGAATTCGAGGTCAATCTCTTCCATGCACTCTAAGAGGGCATGTTCGACAGAATTCGAGGTCAATCTCTTCCAATCGGCTTCAGCCTACGTACATTGGCTCCGTTACTATAACAAAAGTCTGGATACTTTTTGATCAGACCTCATATATACCATGTATTATAATGTGCTGAGGAAGTAGGCTGTCTGTATCCCCTTTTGTGTGTTAGTACCATCATTAGTTTGTGAACTTTTTGCCTTATTATATCCTTTGTCTTATTAATGTTGTTTTGCCTTGTCTACATTGTTTGCTCGCTTAATATAATTTTTGCCTTCTTTTCTTTTATTGTCTTTCTCTTGTTATTGTTTATTACAAATTTTGCCAATTCTGTTTGCTTGGGCATTTCTGCCAATTACATTTAACCATGATCAAGGACTCACAATTTATATCCGGTTATGTACCATATTTTGTTCAAGGATATATGCCAAAACCGTCTTTATTTTTCTTGTCACAACTGTGATTAATTACTAGGGTTTCAAGGGGTCACACATACAAAGTTTGAGATTAATATATATATGATTAGAAAAAAATATTATAACAAACAATTATATAAGGTAAATATTATAATTTTTTTTAATATGAAAAAGAAAAATATAAAAAAGAAAATAATTGTAATATTTTGCTCTACTGTTTGTATCGAGCACTGGCTTTTTTTTACATAAAAATAATTACTAAAAACACCGGATTATAAATCTTACTGTTCTTTCTTATTATTTTAATATATTTACATAAGGTAAATATATTTCTTACGTTGAAGGTGAATTCCTTCTTTGATGCCAAATTGTAAATAACCAGTTTCCCTTCAAAATTTCCAGGTTTGTGATACACCAAAGAGACGTCGTCCTTTGACTTGAACGGTTTCACAGACTTTTTGCTCGTCGCGTCTCCAGTACCGTCATCCCAGTACATCATGGCATCCGTCGGCTGGGTACCAATATATTTCATTGATGCCTCAATTCTGCTCGAGCTGTTTTCTATAATATAAATATAAATAAGTTCACGTAATTTATGACGTATCAAGGAACAAACTAGCAAAATAAACTTTCATGCTCTTCCTACCAGGAACGAAAATCAACAAACAAGATAATCTTCTTTGTCTTTGCTCTTGCCTGAGACAGTTCTCAGGTCAACCCGCTAATGCACCTTACTTCTCTGAAGGACTGTGTGTAAAGTCTATTCTAGAGGTGAGTCATATACTACACGTGTTTCTGGTTCACAAATAATATTTCGCCAGTTTTAATCCGTGAAAATTTCACGGTGGTCCTATTTTCATATTCTGATAAATCCTAATTCTTAAGTGTCCAATTATATGTAAATAATTATTCAGCTTGGTTTACTCTGAGAGAACAGCATAAAATTGTCGAGTGAGGATCGAACTCACCAACAAGCTATCGCTCTGGGACAGATTTTCACTGTAAGTGCATTATATTTTAAACATGATCTGTAATAATGCTTTCTTAACGACAACATCATGAACAAAAAAACATTTTTTTTTCATTTTCAAGCTTCTGTGTTTTATTTTTTTTTATGTCCTTTCAGATTAAACATCATCTTCGCTCTAAATTCTGAACTAACAGACATTAAAGGGCAAGGCTTTCACAAATTATTTTTTTAAATTGCTAATAATTCTTTTCACTAGAAAGACAATCATGGCGAGTTCTACGACAATAAAATATCCGTAGAAATTCCCCTATCGCAGCGTTAAATATTTGAGCTTAACAATTTTAACAAAATATTGCAATAAAAATCATAAATATGAATGTTGGTCATTATTTTAAGAAGTAAGAGGATACAAATGAAAAGATTTGAAATTGACAACTTTTTCCATTTCACTAAAACAGCTGTTAAACACTTCTAGCTTTCCTTTTCTTTTCTTTTTTTTCTTTCTTTTCATTTTTTCACTGGGACCAAGTAGTGTTTCTCTTGTTTTTTTCCGCAATAAACAGTTTATCAGGAGACGTTAAACACTTCTATCTTTCCTTCTTCCTTTCATTCTTTTACTCACTGAAACCAAGTAGTATTTTTGATATCTTTGTCTTCTCACGCGATCAAAACAGAATAATCCTTTATTTATGAGATATTAGCAGGAAACGTTAAACATTCCTATCTTTCTTTTTTCTTTCTGTTTTTTTTTCACTGAAACCAAGTAGCTTCTCTAATATGTCTTGTCTTTCCACCTGCTCAAAATGAAATAGTCCATTCTTTATATGGTATTTGCAGGACATAACGGTCATGCGAACTAACGAAGGGAGGGATAAGCACAATAATAATAATAATAATAATAATAATAATAATAATAATAATCACTCCTTAATACTGTAAAATGAGGATGAGTCAACTCTGTATGAGGCTCATTGATAGAACAGGAGTAGATGTTTATCATTTATTTTCTGTTTAGGATGTGGTTTACCTGTCCCTTTCTTCCATTTCACTCACGGTATCGTGTTAAGCATTTTTCTTGTCAGAATCTATCTTACACATTTATAAGTTTGCCATTCATCCATGCATGGAATTTTCTGGTCACATCTGGTCTAGTGTTCCTCATAGATATCTCGAGATTCTTGATAAATTCCCAAAAAGAATCTGCAATGTTACTGATCCAGACGCTTCAGTCGTAATGTAGCTTCCCTATGCATTTCCTATAAATATTTTCATGGTACTTCGACTTTACGAATTTAAACGCAGATTGCTAGATGTAACCGTAAGTTCTATGCTAAAATTTTATTTTCTCACACATCTAGTGGAACTCTCTTCTGAATTCTTGCGTTCGATTTAACTTTGATCTTCAAAAAATTTAAATGCAATATCAATAGTTATTTTCTGTCTTCTTAAATACCTGTTCTTTTATTTTACTCTCACTACTTAATATTTTTTCATTTTCTCTTATTCTTTCACACGCGTCTTAGTGGCATTGTGGATTTTTCTAGGTTTAAATGATTAAAAACAAAGTGTGGTAGGTTTTTGCTGTGAAGGTCTGAACTGGTGGAACTAGCGAATGAGTCTCGCTTGAACATTTGGCATGGAAATAGTGATAGAGTAGCGAGGGTCTGGCAAAGTTTCGTCTGTTGGAAAGAAATTGTGTATTGGAAAATAATTCATCACCCACAATGCCGTGTAAACGCTGTTCGAGGCTGATACGTTAAGAGTGGGAAGCTCCAGTCTAGATATGGTAGCAATACTCCATTTTGTGTAATAACGCATCAACAAATTAGTGCCATTAAAAACAAAGGAAAAATTACCATAAAACTGTGCTGGAGCGTTTGACGTCACTGTTGCTGTTAGTACCGGGTGTTGGCATGCAATTTCATAAGTTTGATTGACGACCCCCAAAGAATTTTCTGCAGAAATGGTTATCGTGTAGTTCTGAACGGTCTTGTAGGTGTGGGATTTCTTGTCTGGTATATCAGGACTCACACCTGTAAAATAATATTATGTTTTCAAATTAAATAAATGCGAAAATTCACATTCAAGAAAGGGAGAATTACCGAAACACACTCAATAGATTTTGATTTTATCACAAATATTAGGAAGCTGAGGCAAGAAGACGCGTATAAATACGTATGAGTCAGCGAATGAGTTGGAAAAAAATGAAGGAGAAAGTAAGAAAAGAATACTATAGGTGTGTGCGTCTGGTTGTAAATACCAAGTTGAATTCACAAAACAGAATATCAACAATAAACAATTTGGTTGTCCTTGTGATGCAATACAGTTTCAACATTCTTAACTGGACCATAGGTGACATTAAGCGAATGGATGTCAAAACGAGAAAGCTCCTCACTTGCCACAGCGTGCATCATCCTAAGGCTGATATTGATTGGATGTGTCCAGATCCGAAGGAAGCTGAGGATTAGTTCAACGAGAACTTTCTTACAGAAGGAACACATTGGGTTTTTTAAGGTACCTAAGACTACAGTAGGCCTGATGATGATCTGTGTCAATGAACATGAAAGAAATTAAATAAATATTCAGTAATAAAGGAAGTCAACAAATTCAATTTTAAGTGGATGAAGAGCAAATAAAGTATAATGCAGCGGTAAAACCTTAAAAAAGAAGGCAACAACAAATGCAATGAGCCAAATGCAGAAACGGTGGCAGGATAAGCCACTTCATGGCCTGTCCGGGCCAAACAAGTTAATGTAGACAAGTCCTATACCCATCGATGATACATGAAGGCATCAATAATTTCAATTTTGATTTGACTGGTAAAGGTTCTGATATATTCATTAAAGTGATCTCTGGGAGACCATGCCGTAAAGAAAGCACAAACAGAGCTAAAAGGAAATAATAATAATAATAATAATAATAACAATACTACTACTAATAATAATAATAATAATAAACTGGAGTAATGGGAGAGTGTCGTGGCCTCGTTTTGATAGGGTTGTTTTTTAGTTTGAAGGTTGAGGCAGGCACATGTAGATAACTTGGGGACACCCTCAGTTGGAGGCCGACTATGTGAACTGCGTTACCCGACCTGAAGGTATTTCTAATATGCAAGGTTATGCTACGCTTTTATCAAAATTGTTCACCATATCGTGCATATTGGTGGTCTCTTTGATTATCTTCTTTGACCTTGGCTATTCTCGGAGATCAACCTAACATAGCTTATATTATCAAGTCTTACTATCTAGGACTTTTTGGGGGTCATGCTGTCCTTTCATGACATAGGCTATCATAGCTCTTCACAGCTTCCTGTCCCCTGTAGCTCTTAACAATATTTGCTATTTTTTATTATACTTTCCCAGTCTCTAATCTGACATCCATTTATACAAGTTTCTTAGGTAGGTCCCTCGCTGTTTCCTCTGTCCCTCTCAACCTCAATATGTCTTATGAGTGTCAAATTCTTTATTACTTCCCTCCTCATTATGTGTCTCAGAAATGTCAATTGTCTCTTTGTGATTCTAATTATAACTGTCCTTTTCATTTCCATTTTCCTTAAAATTTACCCGTGAACGCTAAAACCGAACAAAGCATAGACTACATATAAAATTCTGTGACTTCCGTTAGTCCGTTTGCGCATGCGTGCGTGCGTCCGTCCGTAACACCCTCTAAAATATCCATACATTGACGGACTGAAACCAAATTTTGGGGAGAAGTGCAAACAGCTAGGGGATACAAATTACAGTTTGTTTTACGAGGGTGCGTGGCTTAGTACAATAAATTTTCATTTTAGGGGAAAAATTAAAAGTTTTATTATTTAGCATGAAAAATACACTCTTTATTTTAAGAAACAATTTAATGATTAAAATAACAAATACTTATTTAATTCAAACGCAATATCTTTAAGTTTTTATATTTCATCGATTGGTATGCGAAATTGAACGAAACGTAGAGTTTGTAAATCATGACGAAAAATTTTAGCGATAACCTCAATGATACTAAATATTTGAGGATTCCAATAGACGTCACCGTGTTGCAACAAAAAATTATAGTAAGGTAAAATCGGCTGACGTTTGTCTGACTAATTTAGGTGACTAAACGTTTGTCTGACTTATTTAGGTGACTAAACGTTTGTCTGACTAATTTAGGTGAGTAAACGTTTGTCTGACTTATTTAGGTGACTAAACGTTTGCCTGACTAATTTAGGTGAGTAAACGTTTGTCTGACTAATTTAGATGACTAAACTTTTGTCTGACTTATTTAGGTGACTAAACTGATTTTTTAATAAGAATTTTCACTCATTTTAATGAATTAGCGCATTTTCTGCCGCTATGCCTACCACTCCCCTCCATCTCACAATTGTGGTTTATAGTGACATTCAAAGCAGAATAGGGCAATGGCTTGGAGGTTCCTTTTGCACCGACAATATTGAGGTCACCCCGTCCCTTTAATGAGTATCTTCTTTCTTCTTTTATGTGCCGTGTCCCTTCAAGACGTAGGCGATCATGGCCCTCCACATCTTCTTGCACCTTGTAGGTCTTAATAAGTTTTGTCTTTTTGTTATTTCACCCAAACCCTATTCTGATATTCATTTGCTCAAGCTGATTAAGTATGTCACGCCCTACTTTCTTTTATCTCTCTATTCCTCAATTTGCCCTGTGAGTATCAAATTTTTCAAGCCCTCCTTCCTCATTACGTGCCCCAAAAATCTCAACTGCTTCTTCTTGACATTAAGTATAAGTTTCCTTTTCGTTTCCATTTTCTCCTAAACTACTTTGTTGCTCCCGTGTACGGTCCCTGGTAACCTCAGCCTCTTTCTGTAGGTCAACAATTCTGTTGCTTCAAATCTCTTCATACTCTTTGAGATTATCCAGCATTCAGTCATATAAGAGGACAAACATCACGTAACAGTTCAGTAGTCTTTTCTTTGATTCTAACGAAATTTTATGTCTCTTAATACTTTGCTTGGCTTTTGGAATGCATCTTTGACCATCCCAATACATCTTCGGATCTCAGTGTCGCACTTTCTGTTATCTGATACAAGTCCGAATATGTCATGGAATAATCTCGGTTGGATTTTAATAATAAAGTAAAAGGATGAGAAAAATATAAACGAGTAGATATGTGATTACAATGCTTACCTGTTCTTTTTGTCTTTTCGACGTGGCCATCGCCGAAGTCCCACGTGATTGTCACATCAGCCGTTCCACCACGGTACATATAGACCGATACTTCGACGGGCTCATCAAACGCAGCATGTGGTGGGTCGGGCTTGATGGAAATGCCTTCAATCGGCTCAACAACATTGACCGTAGTCGTCAACGTCACTCCACTTAATTCATTAGCCACATTGGCCTTGACTGTATATACAGAAATCTCATCATAAGTATGCTGGTAAATACTGGACAAGTCGAATGGAAGATTTATATCCGATTTACCATCGCCGTAAGTGATATTCATCAGTGCGCCGGCCGGTTTCTGTCCTTGGCTCTGTTTAAACACCAGACTCACCAGGCCAGGCGGTGTGTACTTGACAGGACTATCACTCTCTAAAGTCAGATTCTCGATGGGAGCCAGAACCACCAGCTTGTGCGTGAAATCGATCTTTTTTTGTTTGTTATAAACGATAACCTGAACGTCATATTCACCGGCCAAGTGGAAGGTGTGCGTTTTCACTTCTTTCTTACCTGGAGCCCACTCAACTGAGTCAGGGTTAGCAACGCTATGATTTTGACCGTCGCCAAAAATCCAATCGATGTGAACGCCTGTGCCACCCTGCATTGTAACCTCGTAGGTAACACTCTCGTCAACTTTGATCTTGTTTTTATTATTTACGACCACCATTTCGGCATCTTTGATTTCAAGTTCAACCACAAAGTCGATCATGATCGTAATGTTTGAGATGGCATTGGAACCAGTCAAGACGATCTTATGAACTCCCAACTGCGACCACTCAAATTTTTTAACCGTACTGCCTTTCTTTGTTTTCTCGTTGTAGTCAATGTCTATTTGCGTGCCATCAAGCGTTAAAGTAAACGAAGCCATTGAACCAGTAGCAATAGAGAAATTCAAATGTTTATTTTCTCCTTTCAGGATTCCTTCTTCTACCATCTTTAGGTCTGTAATTGGATCAACGACGACCTGTTTTAGCTGTACACTGTCCTGAGACACATTATTGTAACATGTTAATATGACGTTATAGGTACCCTGTTCTTTATACTTGTGAACTTTTTCTATTCCTCCGACAGGGAAGGCTGCAGTATTAAGGCTTTCTGGTGGGCTTTTATCACCGAATGATAATTCACAACCGAAATCAGAACCGCTGCTTCTGTCGAGCCAAAAGCTTGCTGGATTTGTCGTTGCTACTGGTTCACCTGTAAGATTAAGACCTTTAATCACCTCCTCGGCGATTATCTCGGTGAAGTTCTCTTTTATGCTCAGTTGATTCCAGGCACGGACGGTGATGTTAAAGGAACCCGGTTGGACGTACTTATGTGTGATTTGACGACTCGTTATATTTACAACGTTGCCATCTCCGAAATTCCATTCGTAGGTAACATTCTGGCCTGTGTAAGAGAAACATTCATTTAAAAAAATTTATCTTTGGCTGAAATGTAAGGTTTTATGAATACAAATTAATTGCTTAATTAGAATTAATTGGAGAGCTTTTGATCAATGTATAAAGGCCATTGGTTGGTGCTGACGTCACTAAAACATAAAATTTCGGGACCACTAATCAAGCTACCAAATTAAAAATTGACATGTATAAAGTGGTATCCAGTTGGGCGATTTTAGTAAGCGTGGCTTATTTGTGGCACAAGGCCGAAAGTATAGAGCACCCAGTGAGTATCGAACTCAGTCGTAATTGACCTAGTGACACAAGCTTTACACCACGACGAAGTGTTCGTAGTATTTAGTTGGGAAATGAATCCTGGTGTAATCATCCTTGAGTGTGTCAAACGAGGAACAAGGTTTGATGTTGAAAGACCTAAAATCTTCCCGGTTATAAAACACCACTGACGACATTAAATGGTGTATCGGAAAGAGTACTTCGTGTACATACGACACTACTTAAACATTACTTAAACACTACTACGACACTACTTAAACACTACTACGACACTACTTAAACATTACTTAAACACTACTACGACACTACTTAAACACTACTTAAACACTACTACGACACTACTTAAACACTACTACGACACTACTTAAACATTACTTAAACACTACTACGACACTACTTAAACACTACTACGACACTACTTAAACATTACTTAAACACTACTACGACACTACTTAAACACTACTACGACACTACTTAAACATTACTTAAACACTACTACGACACTACTTAAACACTACTTAAACATTACTTAAACACTACTACGACACTACTTAAACACTACTACGACACTACTTAAACATTACTTAAACACTACTACGACACTACTTAAACACTACTACGACACTACTTAAACATTACTTAAACACTACTTAAACATTACTTAAACACTACTACGACACTACTTAAACATTACTTAAACACTACTACGACACTACTTAAACACTACTACGACACTACTTAAACATTACTTAAACACTACTACGACACTACTTAAACACTACTACGACACTACTTAAACATTACTTAAACACTACTACGACACTACTTAAACAATCATATGTAGAAACCTAATATTTGTAGGTACTCTTATTACATTCAGATTTTATATTTAATAAAAATATTTTTTAAATGCCATGCGTGATACATTCTTAGGTGATCATATATCTTTCGATACATAACTTACGAGGTAGATTTTTCCCGCAGTATGTTGCCATTTCTTTCTGCGGTAGACTAGTTGTTATCTAAGACTCTAGAACCCGATCTGTCCTGCTATTTACCCATAGCAGGGGGCTGGGAGAAGAAGAGGATTCACACCTTTCCCAAGGGTATTAGCACGTAATGGATTCGACAGGAATTCGAACACGTCTCACCGATTCCTCAATCCGAGCCGCTATCCATTACTCTACTGATACTCACTCATAATTATTCAGTTTTCTATTAAACTGGAATAGAAATAACTCTACAATTACTTCACAATCACTCTTACTTCAGAAGCAGTTGAATGATTAAACTTTTAAAGAATATTGTTAAACAATATGAAAGTAATCTATAGCAAAGATCCAATAACATCAAAATAAAGAAGTCCATTTTCAAGTGAACCACGTGACTCTCTAATGAAAGAAAGGAAACCTCTGCTTCTCATTCAAGTAGTCTATGAAATTATCCCTGTGTGCGATAGAACGGGGACGAAAAAAAAACATTGCAAGGTATCAGATATAACGGTGAGTATATATCCGCCTAAGCACGGATATACACTAACTTCATAGCATAATTTACAAATGTCAGAGCAGCCAGAAGAAAGCTGTTTCTTAATTTATTAAAAGTGTTGATACGAATCCTATTGAGTATGACCGGGCCATTTTGGACTGTAAAATAATTTTTTTTTAAAACTATCCCGAAAACCATTTTACAAAATTATTTGCTTTATGTTTTCAATGCATGTCCCAGAACAAAAGATAGTAAATTTGATAAATTCAAATGAGTAAAAGCATATATAAAACATATAAAAAAATCATACAGGAAAAACATATAGAATAAAACATAGTATAACAAACATACAAAAACATATTGAATACATATAAAAATATATATTAAAAAAAATATAGAAAACATGTAGAAAAAGTATAGAAATATAGAGAAAAAACATAAAACATATAGTAAAAACGTATAGGAAAGCATATAAAAAACATATAGTAAAACATAGAAAAGACATATAGAAAAATTTGCTAATCTTTGTCGTCTTAAGCTATCCAAATTAAAAAAAAAAATTCATTATTAATTCTAACCTATGATTCTTTCTTTATTTCTTTTTTATTTTTTGTTTTTTTTTTTTTTGCTTTTATGAAAATGCTCAGGTCGTTTTATATTCGACGACCGCTAAATAAATGACATGAATCTGGAATTAAAAGTTAACATTTGATGAGATTCAGAACTCGTATTCCGTAACTTTGGGGGCAATGATAACATAGACAATGCTTTACCAATTTAGCAAGGAAGAGACATTAGCAGGTAAAATTCAAATTCCTCCTTATCCGGTTTTCACGCGCCATATTGTTTTATTAACGGTCGTTACAACATTATCACAAAAGGCAACAATAAAGATAAAAATAAAAAAAATCAACATAGAAATAAAAAGTAAACATTAAAAGAATTTAAAGATGAAAATAAAAATTAGAAATAAAATTAAAAATTAAATATATTAAAGATAAAGTGGACAGCAGAGTGGCTTATCTCGGGTGCTTAATGATCGCAACTAGAGGCGTTAGAGTTGTTTTGCGGTAACAGACAATCACAGTCTGCTTAAATCACATCAGCATTAACTGCAGGAGGTACCAGACGTATAAGCAGCAGATGATGCTCTTGACGGCACACATATCGCAAGGACCATAGCATTAGATGTCTCGAAGTCCTTCGACAAGGTGTGGCACAAATGTGGCTCTCCGGCTATGGAATCACTGGAAGAGTTTTCTTTATGAATGAATCCTTCCTAAAAGTTAGATCTCTGAAGGTAATTATTAACGGCCAGTCCTCCGAGGCCCTAGCGGTCAACGCAGGAGTTCCTCATGGCTCACTTCTAAGACCAACCAATCTAATTTACATAAATAACCTACCTAAGAATATACTCTGATCATTTCTAAACGTCTATGCTGATGATACGACGATATACGGACGCACCTATAAAAGTCTTCACGATCAGAGATTGACAGCTGACCTGTCTTCCGATCTAACACTATCTTCCCAGTGAGAAAAAAATCGCTGGTTACATTCAATGCCTCTAAAACTAAATTGGTTACATTCCATCACCGCCGATCAGATCCCAAACAACCGCAAGACACGATGAACGGATGTCCCCTCGAGGAGGCCCGGTGCCTCAAGAGGATATTGGACCTGAAACTCACACCCGACCCCAAGTGGAATTCCTATATACGATCCATCGTTAAAGATGGTGGTAAAATGATCGGCTCCCTGTACCGCTACAGTAAGTACCAAACACCTCAAGCTATCATCTACCTTTATAAGAGAAAGATCAGGTTTGAAATGGAGTACTGTTGCTATATTTGGACAGGAGCTGCCCAGACCTAACTTTCCAGTCTTGATAGAGTTCAAAAGCGTCTCCGAGTCCTTGTGGGACAAGAATTATTTTCAATACTCCAACCTCTCTCACACAGGCGAGATGTGGCGAGCCTCTCATAGCTACTACCATGGAAAATGCTCGGACAAACTGCATCTCATGGTTCTACCAGGTCTGATCTTCACGGCAAGAATCCGCCATGCCACTTACATAGTAGCAAACTACCCACATTTCCTCTGTATTCCATTGGCGAGAAGTTCCACTCAAACAGCTTCTTCCTACAAACTACTATTCTTCCCCGATCACTACAATCTTAACCTGTTCAAGTCTAGATTCAACCATTATATTACCTTCCTATCCATATAAACTAACCCTTAACGTAACCCTCTATCTCGAGTGGCCCCCGGGCCTTGTATAGAGTGAACCTTGCTGTAATAAAATATCAGTTCAGCGTTTTTTAACTTCCATAAAATATGGGAGTAAAAGACCCACTAAGATGCCACTGTTAAAACCAAACACCAGTCACAACGTCTGATTCCATGACGTCACTAATTGAACTTTGGAGGACTGGTATTATCCGATGTTTCAAGTTTTCAGTTATTTCGAGCTGATGATGGGGTTCGGTGTGATACAGACACCATAAAATTACGGACTCTTATTGTCAAATAGGTAACATGCAGGCTGGTGGAATTTCAATAATGGTGTGGAGTATGTTCACGTGACATGGGTTTTCCGCCCAAGCACATCAGTGATGAGTGACAGCTATGGGTTAGTATTTCGTGACCACTTTCACCACTTCATTAACTGCATGCACCCAGAAATGAATGATTATGCCAGAAGGATAACCCACCATGCCATCGGTCCCAAGTTACCAAGAATTGGTTTTGATGTGGATTCTGGGAACTTCAGACGAACGTTGTGGCCACCACATCCGCCCGAGAATTGAGCATTTATGGAACGTGGAGAGGTCTATTCTCACGAAAGATCCTCTACCTAGAAACACCAGGAAGCAGCGAACAGATATCTAAATATCATTACTCAACAACTCTCCAAAGATCTTCCCACCACTCGTAGAACCGTTGTCACATCAAGTTGCCGTACTTCACAGGACTAGAGGCAGTTCTAGATAATACTAAGCATTTGGCACATGAGTGTACATTGTTTAACTTTTCAATGTATCTGTTACAGCAAATGTATTTGATATATCTAGTCTGAAATGTGTATAACATTAAATTGATATAGAAGTCAAACTAAAAAAAAATGATTGCATGTAATTTTCTGTTACTAATAACAATGTTCTAAGCATCATCATCATCAGAGCTGTTTCGACTTGAAGACATACTGAAAATCTGTGTGATTTCTCATCTCCATCGAGGCTGCTTGTTTCGGGGCATAACTATCTTCTCAGGCCCATTTGTGTTTTTTCAACACCAACAAAACAAACCTATGGTTTATACTGCAACTATGCCAAGCGAAAATGGGTTACAGTTCAAGTATCTGCTCCACATACAGCTTTGAATTCGAAGTTCACTATCTCCTGTAATGGTTGATAACCATGACTAGAGACTCGAGACTGCTTTGTCATGTAACCCATATCTGTCGGAATAAGAGGTGAATTCATACCTTTCCTAAAATTATCTGTGCAAAAGTGAATACAACAATCTTAAGTGGAATTCGAACTCGGTTCGCCGATTTCACAATCCGAGGCTATGACGATTGTACCATCTGCACGTCCTTATGAAAATTACGGAATAAAAATCGAAGAACTAACAAAATTGACCACATTACTGCCCACATTTATTTATTTTTGGCTGGGTATCCTTTTTGCCTACCTGTATGTTCATGTATTTCGAAGGAGACATCATCGTTGGTTTTTTGATATCGATTTGCTTCAATCCATATCTTATCGATGCCAAGCTGGACGGAAATGTTTTCTGTGAACTGAACTGGTGTTGACGTCCCGCTGCTCGTAGTAATCCGGAAGCTCACAGCCTTTTCACCGGTAGTTTTGTAAGTGTGAACCAACGAGAGCACAGATTTCCGAGAAGCCACTGCTCGAACCAAATGACCGAAGGACTCCTTGGTCGCGCTTGTCACATCGCTACCCATAGTCGCTGAATTCGTTGATTTAAAATCATTGATTGAGGAAGTCTGAGCGATTTCAGCTCCGCCAGGTAATTTCTCAAAAGCAATAATGTAACCAGGTTTTACCTAGAAGCATTATGAAAATAAATTGATATATTAAAATTAATGATCAATAACACATTCAATATCAAAGATTTCCATAATATTCTTATTCTTCTTTCCATATTATGCTTATTCTAAAGCTTTCATAATATTCTTTTTTTGTTCTTATTCTTTCTTCAATAATATTCTTATTCTTTACATATTATTCTATTTTAATGCTTTCATAATATTCTTATTTATGTTCTTGCTTTCTTCCATAATATTCTTATTCTTGTTCTTTCAGTATTCTTATTCTTATTTTTTTATAATTTTCTTATTCTCGTTATTTACTATGTGCATTCCTATGTTATGTTTTCATTGTATTCTTCTCATATCTTATCTTCCTATAATATTCTTATTCTTGTTATTTCATAATATTCTTATTCGAGTTCTTGTTCTTTTCATAACATTCTTATCCTAATTCCTGTTCGTTATTCTCTCTTCGTGTCTTCCGATATCTCGCCCATCGAGATTTCTGTAATGTTCAGGATATTATTCCTTTTCTTTGATCTTTGATATTTGTTCTTCATTTATGCGCACATATGAGGAGGTGCTGAAATGTACTCATCTCGGCCTACTTCCCAAAATATGACCAAAATTCCAAGCATCAGAATTTCTCAAGAAAGCTAGATAACTTTTTAGCATCCCCTCGTACAACCTAATTGCATTATTCATTTACGTCACGGTATCGTATGATCTCTCATCATCGTGTCTCTTAATATAGAATTATGAGACAAACACAAAATTAGATCAACATTCACGATATTAATAATAATTTTATTCGTTGTTTTTATTCCTGATTGCATACTAGCTTCACGCATTGGGTCTTTCAATGTCTAATCTATTGTTAGGCAAGGTAGAAAATATTCAGAGTCTAATTTTATTGTTATTCTTTCTTTCTTTCTTTGTGTATATACGATATTCTTTCATTGTATCGTTCAATGTCTAATCTACTGTAAGACAAGCCACAGAATATTTATAGTACTATTTTATCTATCTATCTATCTATCTATCTATCTATCTATCTATCTATCTATCTATAAAATTCTGTGACTTCTATTAGTCCGTCCGTACGTGACACTCTCTAAAATAGCCATACATTGACCGATCAAAACCAATTTTTTCGGAGAAGTGCAAACAGGTAAGTGGGTACAAAGTACAGTTGGTTTTACGAGGGTGTGTAAATTAATACAATAAATTTTCATTCATGCTTTGGGAAAAATTGAAAGTTTTATTATTTAACATACAAAATACTCCTACTATTTTAAAAACCATTTCATGGTTAAAATAACAGATAAAATAATAAAAATGCAATATTGTTTTTGCATATCTTTTCTTTAAGCTTTTATATTTCATCGATTGGTATGCGAAATTGAACGAAACTTAGAGTTTGTAAATCTCGACAAAAATGTTAGCGATAACTTCAACAATACTAAATACTGCGAGGATTTCAACATGCGTCAGAGTTTTGCAAAAATTATTAAAATTTTAATATTATTTTAAATTTCAATATTAATTAAATTTATTAAATTTTAATTTTATTAAATTTTAATTTTTATTAAATTTTAATTTTTTAAATTAATTAATTGAATTAATTAATTTTAATTTAATTTATTTTAAATTGATTAATTTTATTAAATTTTAATTTTATTAAATTTTAATTTTATTAAATTTTAATTTTTTTAATTAATTAATTAAATTAATTAATTTTAATTTAATTTATTTTAATATTAATTTTAAATTATTAAAAGAAATTATTAAACCGCGAAATTATTTTTTCCAAACAAATCAGCTTATTCAATTCAAATTTCATCAATTGGTTTGCGAAATTGAACGAAACGTAGAGTTTGTAAATCTCAACAAAAAATGTTAGCGATAACTTCAACAATACTAAATATTGTAAGAATTTCAATACGTAACGCGTGTTGCAAAAAAAAAAATGGTCCTTAAAAAAGCTGAAGTCACCAATTTTCATTGATATGTTCTTGCCGACCAAATGTTAAAGCTTAGAACACGGTCTGTATGATATTCAGAATATTCAAATAAATTAGATTCAGTCCTAGATTCTTCTTTTTTCAAGTAATTAGATTACTAAGTTTTAAAGTTAGGATGTTTCTTAAGCGGGTTTTATAAATTAAGATTTATAAATTAAAAATGCACACACAGATATGGGAGAAAACGATGTATAATGTTTTATATAGTGTTATAGTGAAACACAACTATTCTATAGTTAATAGACTCTCCCACCTATAATAAGTAGGAGTAGTAAGAGTAACGAGGGAGTCACTCAGTGAGTTGGTCAGTCAGTCGATGCCGGACGACCGTTAGTCGGATACTAAAGTATCAGCGACCACAACTAGATTTCTCTGCGTCATTACCTATTATATCAAGTTCCTAACATTTTGTACGTCGAACCTATTTTAGGACCGACTTAGTACAAATACAAGCCTCCACTGTGAAACCACTACATAACAACTTGGCGACGAGGGATTCGAACTCATACGGGGGAAGAAAAACCTTTCGTACACTACATAACATATACCAGAACAATGAATAAGACATTTAATGATAAAGGGTAAAAAATATTCGTGCGGCGTTGTTCGTCCTTTAGAATGATCTCAAATTAAAAAGTGATGTTTACGTTAATGTGGCTACACACTTTCTTCGTGCGCACATATATAGTTACATCAGCTTAAACATCATTTTCATCCTGCGAAAGGACGAAAAGCGTCACAGGAAAAAAAAATTTCCACTTTATTATTAACTTTTATTGCCAAATACACACACACACACACACATATTTATATATATATATATATATATATATATATATATATATATATATAAAAGATACAATAAAATTTAAAATATATATATATATATATATATATATATATATATATATATATAAAAAAATACAATAAAAGATAACGATATATCATTTTAAAAGGACGAAACGCGTCACACGAAAATTTTTCCACTTTGTCATACATTTTCCGCAATATATATAGATATATATGTATTTGGTTGGATAGCTCTATCTCTGATATTGAGCGCTTTCTAATAAGTACCGCGCATATAATATATAAATAATAATATATATATATATATTTATTTATATACACACACTTTTCACACACACACACATATATATATATATATATATTTATTAAAGACATTTTATGTTTAATGTTCTTTTTATAGATACAAGTATTTAAGCAAATGCTCTGTTTATGATAAACAGTATTAAATAACATTTACCGGCCTGAATGTCCGAGAAATTTTCATAGAAAATATTCGTTCTTTGACAGGATTCGAACCTGCATCCTATACGGAACCGTCATTTACGCTGACGTGCCTTACCGATCGGTTTCAAAAGAAGCGTTCGGTAGACAAGGTCGAATTTACTGCTTATAAACTTCAATCTTCCATGAATCTCGTACATTCATAACTGCTCTGGCGTATCTATAGATACAAGTATTTAAGTAAATGCTCTGTTAATAATAAACAGTATCAAATAACATATCTATAAAAAGAACGTTAAACATAAAAATGTCTTTAATAAATAAATTGTCGGACTTTGTCCATTTCTTAATATATGACGTCATTTGTTTACATTTGATACGCCAAAAAGAGCAGTTATGAATGTACGAGATTCATGGAAGATTGAAGTTTATAAGCAGTAAATTCGACCTTGTCTACCGAACCGATATTTTATTTTATTTTAATTTTTTATTTTATAAAAAAAGGCTTTTATATTATAAAAAATTTTAAATTTTTCAATTGTACGAATATTTATTTTCCCCATTCTCTCAGATCTCTCTCTCTCTATATTTCGATATATATATATATATATATATAAATAAACGTTTAATATAAATTCCATTCTTTAAAAATTTTCATTACAGCCTTTTTTTTGTATAACCAGACTTTAATTAAAAATTTTTGTTTCAGCCCTTGGAAAAAAGTCTGATGATTATCATTAAATAAATATATATTAATATAAAATATCCAATATTTTGTTTTAACATAAAAGTTTTTTATTTTCTTTAAATATTTAAATATATATATATATATATATTTTTTTAAATTTTGTTTATGACTTTCGGAGCCCCACATGATTTCTGTAATAGAGTAACTGAAAAATATATCTTTTTTTTTTTTTTTTTTTTTTTTAATTCAATAAATTAGATTCACCGGAACTATAAGAAAAACACGAGTTTAATAGATCTTACCTCTTTAGATTGAGTTGGAATATCCAATTTATAATAATTGTATCCCTGTGATAGTTTTTAACTGTTAATCTTATCAACAATGGAATAAGTCACCAACAACGAGGATTCTGTGTACCTTGGGACCGTACTATTGCCACACATTCCTGTCGCTGTGTTAAATAACTGCTGGCCGCATTTGTAAGCCATTCCAGGATGACAAGTGCCACATGTCCGGCTCGTGTAGCAATATTCGTTTGAACAGACCGGCTTCAAAATCTGTAAAAGTTTAAAAATCAAACATGACTTGTAATGACTTGAAAACAAGAATCATTTATACAATTCAGTTAATTAGCTTTATAAGTGCAGGTATTTACTACAAGAGAGTGTTTGAAAGTTCTTGACAGAAACCCACTTTTTCTGACCAGGTTGTCAGCTTGCCCGATGGCAAGTGGGGCCCCTGATGGAGTTTTTTATTTCCATATCAAATGAAAATATAAAAAAAAAAAAAAACACGGACAAATGTTTTAGTAATAAAAGAAATAAGAACTTTATAAAATCATCTACATTTCAGTTACTCAAGTACAGTGTGATCTAATGATTTTTAAAAAACTAAAATTCAAAAAGAAATTCGCTGTTTGTGGAGAATTTGAAATCATACATGTTACTATCCATTGAGAAGGAATTTTAGGTGAGTTAGATGCAGAGGCAATTACTGACAGATTCGAACAATCATCTCGTAAACACAAATGATTGATTTTTAAAGTGAGCTGCAATTTATGCTCTATTTATTTGATTTGTATTTACTCATCGCCACCACCCCCACGAGGTCAGGTTGTGACATGATTAGGTTTAATGTGTGGATCTGAGCGCAAATATTCTATAAAAATTAAATATTATTTAAAATTAATTTATGCAACCGTCGGTTACATTTTGGCCTCGATGCGAGCATTTATCCTCTCTCTGGCGCAATGAGAGGACGTAAGATTTCATTTAGCTGTTCCCCATTTATTGGGCACCTCTCAACATAATTTTCCACAAATGAGACTCAGTCATTTACCGGAGTCGTCCCTTTTAAATTTATTTTTTTTGTTGAGAGATCTAAACTGAGAGATGATAAACAGGGTGTTGCAAACTTTTTAGAATAATTTACACAAACGATGCTCTATTGAGTTTTTGAACTGACTGTTAATGTGAAAATTGTGCAGTATTTAAAACTATCAACCTTAAAATTGAAAAAATAAATAAAAAAATTCACTCCCAGTAATATATACAGTACATGCACACTGTAATTATTAAGAAATGTGCAATTTTTTGGAGTCTGTCTATATTTCTGAGATGAGGTATTATGTACAGTATTTACATTAGTCGGACTATTTGTCACAACGTTTCGGCCCTTGTACGCTCCGGCCTTCTTCAGGTGGTTGGAATTTCGAACTGAACCCTTTATTTCGATCACTGGGGTAGACTGTTCTAGTTCCACGTTTGATGGATGTCAGTTATCAGTTATCTCCTGCTAATCCCTCTGAAAGTTCTCCACTGCCTTAACCAGGTATTGAACTCACCATCTTTGGGTCTATCACTGGATCTAACCAACGCCTTTATCCACTGTGCCATGTGTCCTTAACATCTGGGTATGAACTTCTGAGTATTATAAACCTAATGTTTTCAGCATCATTTTTACCAGTGCTCATATTGCAATTTTTACTGTTACAATTGCATGTCTTTACCAGAGTTCATATTGCAACTTTGTTATCATTGCTTTTCTCTGGCACTCCTTATTACTGGTTCCCATATTGTATTTATTTCTATGCTTGGTCAGCTCAGGAGATTTTTGTGGCCTAGCATATGTGCTGATTCCTTAAGTTTACGAATTTTCCAATGGTGTTCCCTGTCTATGATCTCAACATGATCCCACAATGCATTTTTTTTGTATAAACAATTTTAATTGTAAGTTTTTTCTTCTATATGTAATTATTAGCAAATTCAAACAATCCTCTAATGCACACAAACGATTGCTCTTAATATGGTTTATTACATACAATTCTCTATTGCAATTTTTACTCAAAGCGTGGTAGAGCGTACCGGTTCCAGTAAGTCTTCCGGTACGCAGAATGTTTCTACCTACATCGTTTTTTGGGATTTTAAAAAAATTTTTGAGCTAGACGTTACAAAAAATAATTTATTATCGAAAATTAAAAAAACGGAAAAAAGCCCACCACAAGAAAAATAAACTAAATAAAATAACATAAAAAATATATTAAAATTTTCTATAATTACTAACAATTTTTAATGATAATTTTAATAGCAATTATCTAATAATATTTTTATTATTAGACAGTTATGATATATAAATTAATATTCATGATTATCTCATAAATAAATACTACTTTTTATGAATAAAGGTTACCTCGTAAATACAGTATTTATTCATTTACTTTTGAATTAGGATTGCTTAGATACGTTATTTACTTTTTAATCAGGTTTCATTAAAAAACGTTTTGAAATACTAAATAGGAAAAAAAGTACGATAAAAACTAATATTTTCTTTTTATTACAACTGGTATACTTTCTTAAAGAAATGTTTGTTAATCTTAAACAGGTAAAATAACATAAATCTAGTTACTTCCACAGAAACACGATACCTAAGATGCAAAATGTCTTTTTAAAAATCAAAAATCTTTCTTGAAGCTTTTATTTTAGTTTTAAATTTGAAGCTTCTTTTTTTTTTTTTTTTTTACATCGGAGTGAGAAAAAACGAATTAGCTGATAGTGAAAGAAAGGATAAAGATATAAAGGGGAGGTGGAGAGATACATAAAATCAAAGAGTAATTTAAAAAGATTATTGGATATTGGAATTGTTAAATTTTGATTTCATAGTCTTAAAGAAGACCTCTCTCAGTTTTCACTGACAAACTGAAGGAAAACTCTTCATTAGAGTATTTGCTTTAAAAACTTTGACATCCTTTCAGCATATAAAAGTCTGTATTTTTCCATTTTTTTCTTTTTAAGACGCTATTCAGCATTTATTTTTCTACCGAAAGTTGAAATTTGAATAAAATAATCTTGAAAGTAGGTACCACCACAGATTCACTAAAAAATGAACATACCATGATGAAAAAATGCCCCAAAGTTAATAAAAACAAAGTTTTATCATCAAAATCTTTGTTATTATTAAAAGGAAAGACCAAAGGATTTTTTTTATTATTAAATTATATTTTTTGTTCCTTTTTAGAACGTTCGAAATTTTAGTTAAAATGTTTTGTATACGTATAATATTATTATTAAAATATATTATTTTAATGTATATATCTATTATTATTATTAAAATAGATTATTTTAATGTATATATCTATTATTATTATTAAAATTTTTATTTTAATGTATATATCTATTATTGTTATTAAAATAGATTATATTAATGTATATATCTATTATTATTATTAAAATAGATTATTTTAATGTATATATCTATTATTATTATTAAAATAGATTATTTTAATGTATATATCTATTATTATTATTAAAATAGATTATTTTAATGTATATATCTATTATTATTATTAAAATAGATTATTTTAATGTATATATCTATTATTATTATTAAAATAGATTATTTTAATGTATATATCTATTATTATTATTAAAATAGATTATTTTAATGTATATATCTATTATTATTATTAAAATAGATTATTTTAATGTATATATCTATATTATTACTATTATTATAATTATTATAAAATTAGATCATTTCAATATATATATATAGATATATTTTTATCATTATTAAAAACAGATTACATTAATATAGATATATTATTATTAAAATTGATTATTTTAATATATATTATTATTAAAATAGATTAATTTAATATATATATATATAATAATATCATTAAAATTGATTATATTAATATCTACTATTATTATTATTATTAAAATAGATTATCTTAATATATATATAATATTATTATTATTAAAATTAGATTAATATATATATTATTAAAATATATATATATATATATATATATATATATATATATATATATATATATATATATATATATATCATATATCAGTGTCATGTGATCATGTATCTTTCGATAGAAGACTGGCGAGGCAGATTTTTCCCGCAGTAGGTTGAAATTTGTTTCTACGGTAGACCATTCAAGGCTATAGGGCCCGGTCTGTCCTGCTATGTATCCATAGTTTGGGGTTGGGGGAGAAAAAGAGGAGCCATACCTTTCCCAAGGGTATTAGCACGTAAGTGAATGTAATGGATTCGACCGGAATTCGAACTCGGCTTTCCCATTCCTCATTCCGAGCCGTTATACTTATTTATTTATTTATTTATTTATTTATTTATTATATATTATTAAAAATAGATTATTTTACTATATATATATATATATATATATATATATGAAATTGTTGAAAATATATTATATTATATATATATTATATATATATATACTATATATATATATATATATATATATATATATATATATATATATATATATATATATATATATATATATATATATATATATTATATATATATTATTATTATTATTATTATTATTATTATTATTAAAGATAGATTATTTTAATCTCGAAAAAACGCACCAAAAGATTAATTGTTCCGGCTTTTGTCGCAAAAATCTCCCAGGCCACTGTAACGCCTTCCCACTGGAACTCGGCTGACGGCATTATGTAAAAACCATCAGTTGTAGTGCCTTGAGATGTCGAAGTGCTTGGGATCTCTGGGCCGGCCACGAAACGCGTTGCATCTGCAAAGAAAAGGGAAAGAGTTAATCAGTCTGTAACCAAGTGCTAACAGCCTAACTGAAGTTGTCTAAATGGATAAAGACACGGAATTCTTAATCGGAGAGCCGAGTTCCAATTCGAGTTGGGTTCGTTATATTCACTTACGCGCAAATACCCTTGGGGGTTTGAAAAATATCTTTTTGCTTTAAATAACCTGAAAATGTTTGTTAATCCGCAGGAAACAAATCGATCAATCAATCAATTTCTCAAATGATGAGTTATCGTTATTTGCACTATTTCCGTGCGGATTATGGCCCTCGCAACAACAAAAACAACAACAAAGATTAGGCCAATAGTCAGCATATAAATAGCGCAAATAATTAAAAATATACTTATAAAATATTTTCAGTATACAAGCCAAAATAATGTACAGAATATATAGCTGATTTTTTAATTTGTTTATCACTGTTGTAACTGAGAAAAGGTTACTGAATGAGGAATAACCAAAACGGACGTTGGAAATGAAATGGTAATTGTTATAACATCAACAAAATACAATACTCGCCAGCGGCGTGAAGTAGGTAAACCACTGCTAGTGGTGGACTACTTAAACAGCATATACCCCTCACTTACAATAATGTCCAACGTATTATGAGGATTGGGACATACACATTAGTGTTCATGGGTACAGTATATAACAATTACGTTTACTGTTCAGTACACTGCTATAAACATTTAGAAATAAATTAGAAATATTAAAATTGATGCAAAATTGATATTAAATCTTAAGCTAGTTGGTACAAGACTATTACAGGTGTAATATGCTTGAAATAGCGGTAAGGTAAATCTTATCGTTTAACGACCAACTCGTTTAGAGATCAGCTTGTTCGAACATAACTTGATGGTTAAGTGAAGAATGGCTGTATAGGTTAAACCGTTGTGCTTCGTATGAAATGCGTAGGTTTGTAATAAGTCCGTAGCCTAATGATGAAAAAGGCATTTATTTTGTACAAAAATATTTATTTTTAACATAATCTCCTTCTTTGTCAATGCACATAATCCAACCCTTCTTCATAAATCGCGTAAATCGAATGATAATTTCAAATCAAAATTCTCCTGAAAACTACATTTTAGGCTTTGGAGTTACTGATCCCCCATCATGAATATAATTTGACTATGTACCTGCAATTGTATAATTTTGAGGTCCCTGGCCATCACCCATATCACTGGTCACTATGAGAGAGCTGCCATCCACCAGTGTTACAAGACATTCCATTTCCTCGTGAGAAGCGGTCACCTTTGGGCAGTTGACTGACATGTTGGTCACAGGGAAATTCACTGACACCAGTGTGCTCGCTTGGACTTCCTGAAAAATAGAGAAATGCCAAACGTCTTAATTTCCTTTTGAATCGATGTGAACAGTAATGCTGACGTCTAAAGTTAACGTTAAACAATCTTAATCTCCTGACTAGTTTTCTTAAATCTGCGAGATAGACACAATAACTCCAGATCAATATAGACTAGTTATTACCAGATGGAAATATTAAACCGTGTTTAGTTCAGCACAGATTAAAACGAATGCAACAAAAATTAAGCTAAACCAAAATTCGTGGGAAGAGCGCCTTGAAAGCCAGCATTCAAAATCCTGACTCAAATATTGACTACTATTAAATACGCAACTATCTTAGCCAATATGCAGAACTCTTCCAGTTTAAAAACATGTACCTGTTTAAAATTTGACCTATGGACATTTTAGATTTAAATTTTAAACCGTCGGTGAGTAAGGTTTGGTGCTTTGTCACAACATTCAGAGCGTGGAGATTTCAACGCTGCATTTAAATTATTATAGATATATTTTTAGTTCACTTGTTATAGATTGTTTTTGATGTTCAATCTGGTTTTTATAGGATAAATAAATGAAAAAACACAAAGATTTTATTTTAAAAAGTCGAACTGAAGACCAGTATTAAAAATTAATTATTAAGTTGCAAAAGTTCAAGCATTTGTAGTGAGTCCCGATAAAAATAAAATATAAAAATAAAAAGGATTCAAATTAAAATAGGACATTTGCGCCTTCCTTTAAAACTCTTATTTCTTTCTTCCTCTCTCTCTCTCTCTCTCTCTCTCTCTCTCTCTCTCTCTAAACTTCTCTATTGAGAAGGCAACCTTCAAATAAAAAGAGGAAGAAGACTGAACCTGGCCGAAAAATGCCAGACGTTTACAGGATCAGAGCCTACTTATTTGTGATTGAAAAATATAAAAAATCAGCAAGGTTCCACGCATAACTTCCGTTATAAAAAATGAAAAAGAAAGAAACGCCGAAAAATAAAATAATATTGTCCAATCAAAAAAAAATGACACAAAGAGACTTTTGATGTTAGCCGAAACCAACATTCGCGCCAGAGTCTCGGAGTGTGATAAAAAAAGATATAAACTGACACCTCTGGGTTAGAAGCAGAGAAGGATGAACGGAAGGAGAGGACAGAACAAAAGAACGATATTGCTAGAGAAACCAACCATGCGTTACGCGTGAAGTAGTTAGGAGGTAATCTGCTAATTATATTTCTGCCCTGCTTGGGACCGAGAAAAGCACAATAGATTAACACTGACCTATTTCTGATATTACTACTACCTCTATCATGGTCTTATTTCAAAACTACTAATGGACATTTCTCTTGACTACGACCAATATCCACCTTATTAACGAACATTTTGTTAGACCGAATATTAAAGGATACAGTCATCACTCTAAAGAAAATAAATAAAAATATATATTTTAAACCTTGAAACTTTTATTCCAAAGTTTCTAGTAAAGAAAATCCTACCAACATTATACCGCACATGCATAAATTGGGTTTCATTTTATTTTGAGTATACAAATTAAAATGCTTCTAATTTGCGCAAATATTATTATTAATGCTGAAATCTCCTTGTAGTTACTTGACAGAGGTACTCAGAATGTTACTTGACTAATCATGAAAATTTGATGTGCCATTTAAAGCAGATTTAGTAACTAGAGGAAGATGTTGGTTTTAGTCATAATATTTGTATAAATTACAAGATTTTTTATTTCTTTTTTTCTTTTCTTCCCATGGCTACTGAAAGCACACCGGGTCCAAATCCAGGGCTTTTTCACTCCTGTTGAAGAAATCGCTCCCTGATTGACCATTTCTTCAGGGGTGTAACCGTCCTCACCGCGCTTGTCTAATTGCGGTGTAGTCCCATAGTCCGTCGTTCACTTTCTGAGCGACGGTTCGGTTCAACTCTCTGTCTACGGACGGAGAGGAACCCGAAGGAGGCTACGCCGAAGGGCGGAGTCTCCTTCGGGGAGGTAAAACCGGCCCTGAACCCGTTTAAAATCAAATGAGCTATTTTTTGGCCGAACCTAATGGCTCGGAAATGCCCACGTTAAAAAGGCCTGGTGGCACACGACGCCCTCGTGGGGGGGACGACTAAATATAGTCTGTCGCTAACATTCTGAGCGACTGTTCGGTTCAACTCTCCGTTTACGGACGGAGAGGAACCCGAAGGAGGCTACGCCGAAGGGCGGATTCTCTTTCGGGGAGGTAAAACCGGTCCTGAACCCATTTATACGGGTTCAAATGGGCTGTTTTTGGCCGAGCCTAATGGCTCGGAAAATGCCCACGTTAAAAAGCCTTTGTGCCATATGACGCCCTCGTGGGGGGGACGACTAAATATAGTCTGTCGCTAACATTCTGAGCGACTGTTCGGTTCAACTCTCTGTTTACGGACGGAGAGGAACCCGAAGGAGGCTACGCCGAAGGGCGGATTCTCTTTCGGGGAGGTAAACCGACCCTGAACCCGTTTATACGGGTTCAATGGGCTATTTTTTGGCCGAGCTTAATGGCTCGGAAATGCCCACGTTAAAAAGGCCTTGTGCCACATGACGCCCTTGTTGGGGGACGACTAAATATAGTCCCATAGTTGGAGGTTTTGAATTCAGGGTTCTTGCCATACAGTCTGAACTTGGCAGTAGATGTTCTTCCGGAGAGAATTAGTATTCAGGCCTTGATTTGGGACGGTCTACCAGTAGGCTTTCTGCTCCCCTGTTTCAAGTATTCTTCGGTTATCAATCCCACGAATAATTGTTTTGGTGTCCCTCTGAAACTATTCATGAAACGGCATTGCCTCTCGTTTTTAACTTCTCGCAGTACCCTCTTTCTGTATTCTTCTTTACTCTCAATGTTCTCTTTGTTAGCGTTTAGGGATGCCGTTATTATTATTATTTCCTTTGATTTTTGTTGTTTACACATTTCCTCCCGGGTCCCAACCAGAGACCTAAGATCAGAAATGATTTCATGATATTTTAAATTTTATAAATAAAAAAATAAGATCACAGACATTTTACATAGATAAAGCGCTTCCTAATGAGTGTGCTGTTCTTGTAAGAACAATTTTTGTATTTCTTTAAGCCATGGACTACCAGAAATTCCTTAAATGGGTCTATCAGAACCTTTTCCAATAAATCCGAGCGCTTCAACTACAACTGAAACCTACCACATCTTTTAGATTTTCACTTCAAGTCCATTGAATTTTGATAGTTTTTTGCAGATCAACGATACATTACAATCTACAGGACTACCATGTTTATAAGAAAGCATATTCTGTTTTTGTGGTCTTTGATCACGATGTCTGGGCGATTAGTTTTGATTCATCCTTCTGTGTGTATTGTAATAAATTGTTACAAGTCCTATCTTTGTGTTCGGGTCTGGGTGATCTTCATACCAGTTTCTTGCAGTTGGGATCAAATAGAGAGCAAATATGGTTCGGAATTTGACACAATGATAAGATAAAACAAACAGGGAACGTTTATCAATCTAACATGTTTCACTTTATTAAAGCTTCATCAGAGAATGAATGATGAAGTTTTAATAAAGTTAAACCTGTTAGATTCAGAAACATTTCCGATTTGTTTTTATCTTATCATACATATATATAAGCAAAATGTTACTTGCACTCGTCACTAAAAATGGGATGCTAGTCCTACATTTTGATAAGCATGTGCCATATTAATGGCCTATTAAACTATCCTTCACATTTAAGAATATTGTACAAAATATTAACCTGAAAACTTGAGTCATGTTCTCAAATAGCTTCATCAGATCTATATCATTTCAAGATCAATTTGGGAGTAATTAAAGTCATTTTGAGACTAAGCAAGTTCAAAATGGAATAGTCAATGCAATCTCCAGGTTACACTGCTGAACTGAAGTTTGCGTTGTGCATGAAACTCAGAATTGTACCACTGACAAGGAAAAATGTATATTTATTCTTTATATATATATATATATATGTATGTGTGTGTGTGTGTGTGTGTGTGTGTGTGTGTGAAAAGTGTATATAAATATAAATAAATATATATACGTATAATTATTTATATATTTTATGCGCGGTACTTATTAGAAAGCGCTCAATATCAGAGATAGAGCTAACATATTTGGTTGGATCACAAACTCACATCTATCCAACCAAATATATATATATATATATATATATATATATATATATATATATATATATATATATACTATCGTTTCTCAAATCACTAATTAAAAATGATTTCAAATGAATAAATTCTATAAATCTTATAAAAAAGACCTTTCATCAGACCCTATAAACTGGCGCTACGAAATCGCAAAGACATTTACCAAATAACAAAACCACATCACTTGAAGACTTCCTACAGCAGCAACAGTAAAAGTGGGTAACACATGTAACTCGAAGAGAAAATATAATAAAGTTGTTAATTTTCCAGCCTGCCAAAAACATAAATTTCCCTTCAATACCAGAAGTATAACAGTACACATGAGAAGTCTAATTTCCGGAAAACTGTTTTAATAAAAAGCTTTTATGAATTTCAGTAACAGTAACGCTCTTCGGACAATAAGCGTCGAATGTTTTAGAATTCCACTAGCACCATTATCAAGCTAAGCTTAAAAAAAAACACCAAATATATGAACATTGAGTTCAAATAAAGCGACGTACTTACCGGTGCTGTGTTATTGCGTCCGGAAGCGTAAAGTGTAGCTGCGAAGTTTCCTGGCAAAACGTAATGCTTGGTAAAGAGATCGCTTGCATTCTTTTGTGTCCTGCTGTTGCCTTCACCGTAATCCATTTGATAATCCACGATGATGCTCTCAGGTTCAGCCATCGCCTCAAAAATCACCTCAAAGTTGTTATGCGATTTGACCGACAGCGTCAAATCGGTGAAATGTTGAGCCGACTTATAGACACTGATATGCTCACTGTCCCCACACATCTGATTACTATCGCCAGAACAAGGGGTCGTACAACCGCTGGTCGTCTTCTTTGCATCATCGGGGTCGTTGTTTCCGCAAAAGCAGAACTTTCCGTAAGTGAGAGCCGCGTATTTTTGGTTCAGTTCCCCACACGCCGTCGTGCAAGTGATGATGGTCATTTGAAGAGGATCATAGTTTCCGGGAGATATCGAGAAACGCCTATCATGTTTATCTTCTTTATAACAGTTTTCCACATCTGAAAACAGAAGAAACAACGGAATGTTAAATCATAACATAAACTAGAAATATCTTCAATGCTGGAATTTGCGCCAGTTTTAATGTGCACAGTAATTTTTTTTTTACATCAGGCCAATTCATAGAAGAACTAAGGCCAAAACATGAGGCCTAATTCAAATCTCGTCGTTCCCCTGGAAACGACAGATTTTAATCTTGGTTTTGTTTGTGATAGTTCGCTATTGTAGTCGACTTTTTTTTTTACACATTGAATAACTTTTAGCTTGTTTAATTGCTAAATTACATTTTTAGCGAACTTTGCACAAAACATAAACGTAAAGTAATATTACAAGCCGTAAAGAAATAAAATAAATAAATCTTAAAATTGCTTCAATTAAATAAGCTAAAATTATTACAAGAGTAAAAAGCAAAATATCTTAAGACGGCTACAACAGCGAACTACCGCAAACCTAAAGTAAAAAACGTTGCTCAACGTGGTTTTAAATAGCTTCCCAGTTTTGCACTGTGAGTTTTCTGAAGTATAGAACACCATAAATTCTAGCCATTACAGATGCAACTAGCAATCCAATTAATTAGGTATTTATTTATCTCCCTACTCTTGTCTCTCGAATAAACGGTAGGGATAACAAAATTAAAGGAATTTAAAGAAAAATGAATAAATGAGGGCTAAATAGAAATATTTTGTTGTTTTCAACTTTGTAAGGACGGAGAGACAGCACGCGACAAAAAATGAATTAGGATGTTTTCATAAGTACATACAAAGCCAAATGCGATGTTTTCCAGTATCTTGTTATGCCTATAATTTATTTGAAGAACATTCTAGAAACTTCCGAAGAATGGTATGATTACTTAGTAGTTATACATGAAGTACCCATTCCTTTCAGTAAAATCAAGTATATTGATCAAGTTAAAAAAAAAAAAAAGAAAAAGAGCGTAAAAAGCTAATATAACATTTACTAATTCGGTAAACGCCGCTTCACAGATGTCAAGATGATCGAATTTAATATCGAAATTGTTTATCCATTTAAAATACTAAATTTATCCGGAAATATATTCAGTTTAAATACAGAAGGATTCATAAAAAAATAACTTCAAAGGACCACACATTGCGGCTTATATTATTTTCTTTTTATCCACCAGACAAAGAAAAGGAAAATACCAAATTCATTTATGTAATTTCAATTGAATTTATTTTGGTTATTCCTTCAATTCATATAACGTATTTCTAATGGTTATGTCCCAATCCTCAAAAATATATTGGACATTATTGATAAGTGGGGGAAAATATTGTCTAATAGAAGTCCATTAGTGGGTTTATTTATTCACGCCGCTGGCGAGTATTTTATTTTGTTGATGTTATAAAGATTACCATTTCATTTCCAACCTCCATTTTGGTTATTCCTCATTCCGTAACCCTTCCTAGGTTACAACAAAAATATTGGATCTTTTCTGTTAATTCACCCGAAAATATTAATTCACACCAAAATAAAAAAAGAATTTATATTTACTAAAATTCCCCAAATTCTCCCAAAGGCGATTCCATTGCACTCCGACCTTTGTGTTAGCCATAAATGTGGCCGACTTGGGTGCGCTATTTCTAAGTGTGGAGGCGACGTTTGTGCTCACAAGCCAAAAACAGATTTTTTTATTTTTAAATTGTAAAAAAATCCTCGAATATCATCCGCACCTACAAAATAACTCCCTGATTTTTGGTAATTTTTCAATCTGAGGGTTGGAGTTGTTGCAAGGCAAGCTAAACAAATTTTGAATTAAAATTTATAATTTCAATAGTGTGCCAAAAATTTAATAAAAATAAAAAAAAAACTTTCATTTAAAATGTATAATTTCCTGGGGTGAATTAATATTTGCGATAAATAACTTTTCATTATTTAGTGTGAATTAACAGAAAAGAATCAAAATATTTCTACAAAATTAAAAAAAGATAAATTTAAAAATAATTTTATTTATCACTGAATAATTTCTGAAAATTTCAATAAAATCTAACAATTATCTGTTTTTTTGTAAGGTTAAAAAAGCATTAATTTTTAAAAAATTAATGTTTTTTTTTTTTTCGCCGAGAAATTAGTCGTATCATTTTTTTCTCTCATTTCACTTTTTCTATTTTTATCTGAATTCACATTTTTGTACTTATTTATTTTTTTAAGTTTAACTTTATCGAAGTAATAAACTAGATATTTTCTGGCTATCCCTGTCAATTTCTAAGTACCAATAAATAGATATAAATAGACTGATGTTGACAGACATGAACAGAGTGATATGAACAGACAAACATGAATGGACTGTTATCAATTTTTACAATAATGTTAACTTTCTATAAGGCCCAAGAGCCACTTGAGGTGGAGGATTATTTTTCTTAGATTATATTTTTATGGGGACATGTGGGGAACAACAGGGTTGAAGAGGTTAAAATTTCTAATCAGATACTAGCATCCTCAAAGTAGCAATTTCAAAGGAAGAAGCTTGTGTGGAACTTCTCAAGAAATGGAATATGAAGGTAACAAGGCTGGTTCGTTACAATGTGCGTAACATGGCGGGTCTTAGCCGTGAAGGTTAGAACACGTGCAACTAAGGAATGTAGTTAGTCTGAACATTTTCCATGGAAATAGCGATAGAGTAGCGAGAGGCTTGAGATATTTCGTCTGTGGAAAAGGAGTTAAATGGTGGCAAATGATTCATCACCCACAAGGCTGCGTAAATTATTTTGTTCTCTATCGAGCCAGGAGAGTGAAGACTGGCCAACTCCTACCCATATATGGCAATAGTACTTCATTTACGGCTCGATCTGGCTCTTGTAGAGGTCGGAGATAGAAGAAAAGTCAGGTACTTACTAGTGGTACAGGGAACCAAAGATTTTTCTAGCACTTTTAGCGATGGGTCGTATGTACGAGTTCTACCTGAGGTCTAGGTTTAGCTTAAGTCCCAATAGGCACTCGAAGCAATTTGCCTTTCTGAGAGAACACCCGTTCATCGATATTGACATAAATTAACGGTCCCTCGCTTGGTGAACAATATTTAGAAACAGTAAAATAAATATCCATAATATGCTAAAATTCTGTCGCTTTAGGTAAGAGAAAGAAAAGCCGTTTATTTTTAATATTTTTATTTCACAGCCATGCTTGAGTAAAACATTTTCGTTTTTCTTTTCTCTAATTTATGATTTTATTGCTCAGCGCAGAGTAGGATTTTAAATTTTCCTTCTAGGGAAATAAATCCAATCGTATTTCAAACTCAGTAAAAATTGTGTGTATATGTCTATGCGTGTGTGTGCTTGTTCAGATCAAAAACGCAAGTATAAATATAAATAAATCCCATAATAAAAAGACGTTACATATTTTTCCTTGTTAAAAATTTATTCCGTCAACAGTTTCTGTATACTTATCGCCTCACGCTGGCAGGATGTGACACAAGGACAGTTTAACATGGGGATCCCGAGCGCATGAACCAGGACCCTGTCCAAAAACAGCCAAGCCCGCGCAACCGTCGGTTGAACTGCCATCGGTATTACTACTGACCCCTCTCTTTAGTGCAATGACGGACGCACTGTCCCGGGCAGCTGTTTCTTGGGACAACTCTCAAGATTTTTTTCAGTTGCACTCTGTCCGAAGACAAAGACACAAGTGAGTTGCGCTCAGTCCAACATTTTTTAATCAAGATCTTCCCAAACAAGGCAATAATGCCACTAAGACACGGGGGGTTACTGGGTGTGGAAGAATTCGAAAACAGGAACATTACTAAGAAGCGAGGACACTAGAAGAGTAATCAGGAAGACTGTAATTGAGAGATAAAATGTTGTTTGTTCGTCCGTGTCAGATACTTACTTTCTTCAGCCCCAATACATAGAAAAACACGCAAACAGTTCCATCATCGGACAGAGAATCAGCTCTTCTTTTATAATATAGATTAAAACATTTATTAATGAGTTCAATCCTTGGGTAGAGTAGTACAAAAATGTCATTTATTTTAATTTGATGAAAGAAACAAATTACGTCACGAATTAATTAAAAGAACTATCGTTTAATTAATTATGATGAATAGTTCTCTCCTATGGAAATTCTGAATGATTGTATCGATCGACCTTTGAATAAATTGTTTATATCTTATTTCAAAGCTTTTTTAATTTACAAATTTTAAAATATTGATATAACAAATATCAATAAACATGATATTAAGAAAAATCGTCTTTTAAATTCCGTAAAAAAAATTAATATTATAATATTTAAATATTTTCATTTATAAATGTTCGTATATTCTTATAGATACATTTAGCAAAATTTTAACAACAGTTATTAATTTATTGTTGAAAACGAATTTCTGAGAATGAATGGCAGAATAGAGACGAAGAGAGATGGTAAAAATTCAAAAGATTATTTAGCGCAATAATAACTTTGTGGAAGTTTTTGGAACACTAAAAATCATGAAAATGATAAAAAGAAGAATGTTTAAGATAATTATTGAACGTGATAAAATTCAGATTTTCAAAAGCAGCCTCATCGATTCACTAAAACAAACATTCCTTTCTTTTTGATAGTCAAAAATGTCAACTTTATTAGTATAATTTCATGTCTTACATCTTTTGACAAATAACTATAAATTTGAAAATTAAAAAATTTCAAAAATGTTTAAAATATGTTTATAATGTCTATGTCTCCAACTACCACCGAGCTCTATTGCTGAATATCAGACGATGGAACCAGTTTGCATGCAGAATTTATTACCAATGAAAAACACACCAATGTTTCTCAGCTGTTCAAATAAATAATTGTCCCAAGTTTATGAAACAGAAGGGCTTTCAAGTTATAAAACGGAAGGGAAATAACGGTGGACAAACAGATCATGTTTAAACTAGAACGTACATGTTTCGACTTGCTTTCTTGTTACAGGGCAAGAAAAACCAATGATGAAATTTTTTTTTCGCGCAGAATTAAAAGTAAATATTTAGCTATACAACATTAACAAAAATTTAAAAAGATTCACAGAATT